CTCTTGGCAGCTTCGTGTCCGATCGTGCTAACACAAACGATAGAAAGGGACTGGGTTGACGTAGCTAATAAACAATAGCTCTCCAGTTTCCGTCATCGTAATTTAGCTTCACTTTTTGGACTCGAGTTATCGTTTCAGAGAATATGGAGCTCATTGGTTCTCAAGCTATTTGTATACTGTATTGGTGTATCTTATCTATGAATAACATTATTTCCATAAAAAATCGTTTTGACTAGATTCCAACACGAAGTGGATCGTTCTCCGTGGTCTATGTGTCCACACCGACTCCTATAGTCCCTCTCACATCATGACTGCTCCTGAGTGTACACGCCGTTGTGAAGCAGAGCCCGGATGTGTGATGGCGAAGTTCAGTTCAGCGGCTTCACTTTGCTGGCTCAGCAAGTCACGCAAGATGGCGCCACTTGGCAACGGTTGCGATGGAAAATTCAAGAATATATACGACTACTTTGTAAAACGTACGTCTGTGGTGAACAATAGCCTAGAACAATACTAACAATTAGCCTTTCTCGATTACCCTGGACAATATCGGCCATTTTGGGCTACTGTCTTCTCTAGTAAAGTAGTCTAGACAACTTTACAAGCTGCGAAAACAACTGCGAAAACCGACTTTACAAAGTTTTAACACCTGTAAATTTACTAATATACACACAATTAGTTCATGCACATGGCCTATATTTCTGATGTTAAGCCTGTTTCCCACTAGGCAAATGCGTTCAGGCGAATAGACTTTTTCCTTTGGGGGCATCGCTTTTACTGACGTGACAAGCGATGCCAACAAAGCCAAAGGAAAAAACGGACTGACAAATGTGAGTAAAATATTAAATCCCATATTAGAGTCCATTTAACTATAGTTTCATTTCATATCTAGCTCTAGATGAGTGTGATGTCTCAGAAAGGCAATGTCCCGATCATTCAGAATGTTTGTTTGAAAAAGGTCACAGATATTGTAAATGTCGAGGCGGTTTTGAACAGCATGGCAAGCAATGCAAAGGTTAGGTATAAGTGATTATCACTTTCTTTAAAATGGGAGTCGAGTGTATAGATACTGTATTCAAGGAAAAGCTGCCGAAGTTTGAACTACCCGAACAAAGACATCTCAAACGTGGGGTCCAATGTATTGGTAGCACTCTACAAAAGGTTGCATATTGTCTTGTATTTTCACACATGTCCTTTCCACTTCTGTGACATGAATTTGTGCAATTTCCTACAGACTAAAGTAGTAGTCATGTTCTCTGCACATGTACTACTTTCTTCGGAGAAACCATTTGTCTTCTGACAAATCGGAAAATGATCAAGATAATTGCTCCGATTGATTTATATAATGTGTTGACATATAATTGTGTTGACATTGCTTTTCAGTCTTCAATATTTGAGTGAATCACGCTTTCGAAATGACAACAATATTTTTTTATTATCCAACCCTCAAGTTGTTTTGTTTTTCATTTACTCATTCAAAATGTTGTATACCCAACCGTTTCCACTTCGGTGCCCCACCCCTAGGCCTAGCTGTCATAAATAATGACTGATCTCTTACTGGTGACCTGTGTTTTCAGATATCAATGAATGTGCATTGTACGACGATCTCTGTGGTGAGCATGCGCACTGCGTCAACACTCTTGGCAGTTACAAATGTTCATGTAATCGTCACTACATCGGAGATGGCGTCATCTGTCTTCAGAGTGAGTTTGAAATTTTCACGCCAGGTGTAAATCTGTATGACGAATCTAAACTATGATTGGTTTGATGCAAATTTCCTAGTACGCGAGTAAAGGTGTTTCAAGCCATTTTAATTTAGTTTTAAGATAGCTATCATTTAAATTTTTCTCTGAGCGGATATCAAAGGGCGCTTTTTCTTAGCATGGTCTGAATTACAACCAGTTGGACAAAGTGTTAATGAGGACCTTTTCCCTATTCAATTAAGCGTACATAAAGACCATTCTATACTACTGACTTTTATAAGAAGGAATCTCACGTATGTGAGACTGAAAATATCTTGGCCACATTTCCGAAGAAACTTGACCCAGATATTTCCATAAAAAGACAGAAATTCTGCTTGGATGAGTCTAAGCATGTTAAAGGAAAGCCATAAAAACATAAAAGCATTCCATGCTACCCCCAGTCCCTCCCTCCCCCCCCCGCCGCCGCCAACATCTGCCAGCGCGCCATTGAGGATAAGCGCGAGAAGCAGTTGAATACTTGAATAACTGAGTTATGCAGTTGCCAGGAAAGTAAAAGAGTACATAAAAAGTAATGAGGGATTCAATTATCGTGCAACTCCTTTTAAAACCTTTTATTTTCTCGTTGCAGAGCAAGAACGACATGCGATTTCCTTTGGGCAAGGCCCGGTTTCATCAAGCTGAAAAAAATTGCTTACTTTAGAAGATGCAAAGCTTACTTCTCTTCAATCATGCATTTTGGTATTTTACTGTAATGCCTGTAATATTCAGTATGGACTGATATACTGTCATATATATTGATTCACACATGTTACAAAATCAATGAAAATTAACATCGGTATATTTGAATATTTATTTTCAGTATACACATAATCACACGGAGCCAGTGGCGACTTTATAGTCAGTGTTTCATCTGATACTGCTATCTATATTTTACAGCAATCAGATTAAAAGCATAATTAAAAAGGAACTTGTTTTCAGCGATTAAACAGACTAGTCATGAGCGACAAAATGCAATGAGAGGCAACTTTGAGGTAAGCCACACTTTACTATTTACAATGTAGTTTTATGACTATCCGTGCAAGCAATCTCTATAGCATTTCCTGAACCCCACATTTTTTTTTACATAAATGCATTGATTTTTTTAAACTTTTCATGTCCTGTTATTAAGAATAGTAGCGTAGTTTTCAAGCTTAAAACTAAGCGACCGGACATGCATGGATATTGTCCGATACGAGGGCAAATGTCGAGCAAAATTATACCGGCTTTTCCAGCCACGAACAGTATGTCCGGTACAGTAATCCTGCTATAATTATACTGATAAAAAGTGAAAGATAGTACATACATGGCCATACATTGTGATTATATTTGTTCCTTTAAAAAGTTTTAAGAATAGCCTAGAGTTATATAACAATGTTTTATACATCAGTTTTTCAAAGAGGCGCGGCCATGACAATTTCGCCTGAAAACTTCTGGTCATGGAGCAATTTGCCCCAGTCTCTTTTTGTGTTTGCTGCCGGGCCACATGTGCAGTAAATATTTTGTTTTGTTTTTAATAATATATTTGTTTTGTTTCTTATATTATTATAAGATTAAGATATTTGCGATGTCCGGCACGAAGTGAGAAGTGTCGGGCACTACCCAGTTTGTGTGTGACAAACTCTCAGGCCCCTATATGAAAAAATATTTTCAGGTAGCCTAGCTTTTATCGTTGTGATGTTCCTTGTCGATCAGATCAATGCGCGATCCGGCTTTGGAGAAAGAACATTTTGACACTTCGCCAGCCGTATACAAGTGCATTAACAGAAAAAGAACACAAGAGCACCGTACTAAACCACGGCAGAAGATATAACTGAACAAACGTGTGTTCTTTATCCAGATTCATGCTTCGAGTTATAACCATCGGAAGATAGCAGACGAAATAGGTTCCAACGACTAATAATGATGTCAGAGATTGCCTCTTTTTACTATTTCGACGCGAAATAGTGCCTTGGTTGAAATTTCCCCACACCTTGTCTAGCTCTCGTAGCTTGAAATACATTTTTACATACGCATAGACAGTGAAAACGTAGGGAATGAAAGTCGACAAAGCCGTTATGATTTTTGAAATGTTTTTGTACCACGTCCAGAGGTCGCTGAGTATAAAATGGGTTTCAAGAATTACCAGCAAAGACAGCAGTGCCTTCCCGAAGCTCCGTTTATATGTCATGTATTTATACGGGTGTATAACAGCTGTGTATCTTTCAACTGTGATGCCCAGCATTGTCACGATTGAAAATCCTGCAGAAATTTTCGTTCCGCATGATAGGATTGCCACGACCGTACAGTAGCTTAACTTTGAAGGATTGTCAATGTTTGCCAGGACTATAAAATTCGAGGCGACATATAAGGGCTGGATTACCACAGCGCAGAACACGCCTTGTATGGCCAACAGCATAGACAAGGCTTTCAAAACTTTGCCTAAGAGTTTGTTCCTGTAGACAGCAAAAATTACGACCGAGTTTGAGAGCAAGGCAAAGATAGCGTTTAAAGTATTGACGATGATGAGAAGATAGACATTCACCTGGAACCCATCATCCAAAGATACTACTTTTTGATTTCCAGAGCATCCCAATTTCACCAAGTTTGTGTTGCTACTTGAATTGGGTAGAATCTCTGACACGTTTTGGCTCATTTTATCCCTCCGTATGTCGGAACTACGACACACTGGCTTCGATGTCCCGACAGTGACAAGAAAATGTCGTTTAAGAAACGATGCTGGAAGTGTCAGTGATTTGATTCGGCGATTTCAAACACCTCGAAGCAGGTGAAATGTAATAAAATATGCCCGACCTGATTTTAAAACTTAATTTACACTTCTTCTTCATTTGGATTTTAAAACAAAGGAGACGATATTGTATTCATTATAGCAGACGATTCCAGCGCGAAGCAGCTGGTAGCAATACTAGTGTGTCCCGAAACTAACAAGGCAGGTGGGAAGGGGGGGGGGGCAGGCTATTAATTAAAAGGGGGAGGTAATCCTAGCAGAAAGGCCATGTTTTTGTTTACACAAGGCATGTATGATGTCACATAGGGTTACCCTACCAAGCGGGTCATGTTTTTTTCCCTTTTGATACAACACCACACAAAGTGAAAGACCACAGCATTGGGATGCAGCAAGGTACTCCCTGACTGCCGAGACCCCCTCTCCCAATTACACTCCTGGTTGGTGGGGTATCTTCTGTACGAGGAATTGCGCGTGGCGTTTGAAAGTCTAAGACACAGTTTTGGGGCAAATCTATACCAAATCATATCTAAGAGATTGGTAAAATATTATCAGAATACCCCTGTTTTGGAAGTAAGGTGAGGTTTGAACCTTAATATGATTAATTTTAATTAATTTGCTCTTAATTGCAATTATGAACACTTTTATGACGTAAGAATCATTGTAATCTTCGTTTTCTAGGTGTTCTTGAAACAAGATGATTCCGTTAAAATCAGTAACATGTTAGAATGTTGAAATTTTGGATTTTATTATTTCTTTCTATTTCTGTTGTTGGGGCTGACAAAGGTAAGACAGGTAAGATGGTTAAATTATTGCTATTGTTTTACTGGAAATGTAGATTAGACGTACGAAAAGCCCTTTACAGTAAGAAATACAGTATGCACTTACGCCTGTATTCTAAAAGCACACTCAAAGAGTGGAGGTTCAATTGAGCTTCACTTGGGTGTCAATGCTGTTTTTGAATAGCCGGAGGGTGAGTAGTCACATATAAGGTACAACACTAACCCTCCAGCTATTCAAAAATAGCACTGATACTTAAGGGAAGAGCTCAGATTGATTCTGCCCTCTTTGAATGTGAGTGTGAGTGAGCTTTTAGAATACAGGCGTTAGCTTTAAATTGTTCCTTGGGAAGAAAAGAAACTTTGAAGGAACCGCAGGTAGGGCGCATCAATACGCCCACTTCCTATACGCTCCTCGTTGCAATTGTGCGATTAAAATCCATTGTCGCTTGCAATTGCAATGTTAATGTAACTTGTAACTAGTTTGTAATGTGGCTTCGTATGATTGCCTTTTTTAAATCATAGAGATAATGTGTTTGCTGTGGTAGTGCCGTAGTCGGCAGTTATAGCTGAGTTGTCATCCGATCCTGTGAAGAATATCTTCAGTTATACGATCTTTTGTGTTTCTAATTCGGGTGGAATGTAACGTGACTAGTGGCGTAGGAACTGGGCGGATAGGGGCACATCCCCCAAGTTTTCTTCAATGCACCCTTTTCCCAAATAGAAGAACAGCTCTTAAAACAAATACTCCTCCAACTTAAAGTTATTTCCTGAGCCTATGTGTGCCAGACAATCAGCAGAACATTTTATTATAAATAAATAATGTATGTGATGTATATTGTAACTACAACTACGCTCACATTACGCCGGAGCACTTTAGAAACGTCGCATATTCGCCATAACAATTTGAGTACGATCTCTAAACGGAAACGGAGCACTTGGCGGCGGCATCGCCGTCGTGTGAACAGCGGTACAGTCTTTATCTTGCTCCACTTTAGTATTTTGTATTACTCCCTTTTATTACCTTTTAGTTACATGGGTTTTTGTTTTCATTATTTGAGCTCGTATAAAGACATTCTCGTGTATTACAAATGTTCAATAGATGGCCAAGTACAATGGAATGAACACATTGCTTTATGTCGAAGTCCCACCAGCTACACGACGCGGGAACGTGTTAAAACAGCTCAGGAGTGCAAAGATATCTGTGCCAAAGATCGTTCCTGTCTGATGATAAAATACAGTAAACGAAGAAAAAAATGTTGGCTCTGTGATAACAAGTCATTAAATCCCTCAAAAAAATGTTCTGCGAAATATGACTTCTACATTAAAGGTATATTGTTAAAAAAAAAAGAAATCTTCATTCCAATCTTTCAACATTCAAAGATGGGAATGGCTTCTACCAATTATTCAAACGTTGAAATCTTTATTAAATCTGGATTTAGCAGTTGCATAATTTTGTGGTAAGGTGGGCCCTGGCTTCAAATGAAGAGAATCCCCTCGTTCCGCATTTGCCAGACAATTCACCACATTGCCATCCTTATAGGCAAAGTAAAAATACTGTGGTCTATACATTGATCTTCCCTTGGGAAAGCTCATTCCTAAACATTTCAAAGTAAAAATAATTGCTTGACATTTGGTTGAAGGAGAATAATTAATTTATCTAACTGTTTTTTTCACAACGCACAGTCTTCGTCATCTCTGCCATTTTTGTTTTTAAAGTATTTAAAGACAATTAAGAAAGCAGCGCCGTTTTTTAGTTTTACCAATTCCAAACGTTTTATGGATGACCGATCTACGCGCATGTCTTCAAGACGAGCCTTACAAAATCTGGTTCATTGAAACTGCACAAGAATGTAAAACTACTTGTGCGGAAGAAGAAAATTGCAAAATGGTGAAATACAGCCCAGAGGAACGAAAATGTTACTTCAGTTCGTCCACTAGATTGATGTGGAGTCGGGACGACGATTGTATGGTTAAATACGACTTTTACACGAAAGGTATGGAAGACTTTAAATACATAAAGTTAGAATTTTATGTGCTGTGCAAACTATAGGAAACATAGATGATGTGCACTCCGTTCTGCGCTGGTTCTGCGCATCAGTTCTGCTCATAAAGCCTAGTTCTCATTCATCGCAAACTGTCACCGACGATCGGCGACGCTTATCGCCGATACTCGCCGAGCGCGAATGCACGAAAGTTCTTATACATCGGTGATCGTCGCAGATGACAGCCGATGTGTTTCGAAATTTCCCACCAAAGGCACAAAATGGCCCCATTCAACGTAAAGTTCATGATTTCTGTCAAACTTCAGTTGATTATTTCCTTGCTTGTTGAGGAAAAAACAACTTTTACTCCTTTCTCATAGATTTTTCAAGCAGGTGGCAGTCGGCGATGGTCGCAAGAAACAAACTTTTTTGTTTCCTGCGATGTCATCGCCGATGGTCGGCGACGATTACGGACAATCGGCGATGTAATTTTTGACGTGTTCTCATAAATGGCAAGCGGTCGCCGACGTCGCAAAGCTCCCATCGCCGACGGTTTCAGTGATGAATGAGAACTAGGCTTAACAAAGGGGACCCCAGATATAAACATTGCCCAAATTTTGCATTTTTCGAATTTTTTTGAATTGGAACTTAGAGTTTATATTCATTTACAAATATGGCGAACCAGAAAAGTGTTAGATATTCAGTTAGTATATCATATTTTACAAATATAACAGTTCAAAATGTAAACAAAGTTCGCGCTAAAGCCAAAGGCGAGGTGATTATCGGGGAGTATTCACCAAGACGAAGTCGAGGTGAACATTTCCCGATAATCACCGAGTATATGCATGTTTGTAATCGTAATCATAGCCAACAGAAGCCTCTGCGGAGGAGAGAGTAACGGCTTAATACGTCAAATTTGACCAATCAACTCGTAGAATTTGTTATATTCACTTGTGCAAAAATACTAAATAGAATTGGTCCGGATACATTATTGTCGACATTTCTGAAGCTGATCTCCAGCCACCTTCAGCGTCGTAACCCCTTATTGAAACCTATAGGCTAGATCATCTGCTGGATATATTTCTCATATATATATATAGATGATCCCAAACCCACTGGAAAGCCGTCAAGCAAACCACTTGATTCATTACCAACTGAAACTCCAGAAGAGGATATTGGATCGGCTGGAAAATCCGAAGGAGAAGAAAATCTAGGAACGGATTCTCCCGATGTCGAAACAAAATATCCAGAGGAGCGTATTTACACGCCAAGGGAGGGTATATACACGCCCTATATCATACCGGCCAGGCAACTACCCGGAAATCAGCCAACAGGGAGTTCGGTTGTCCAAATCACCAAACAGCCAGTAGGTAATGTGATAATTATAACTTTTCTATATTCCAGATTCACAAATTTAATTGGATACAGTTCATAACATATTCAAGTTAAAATTTAATTAACTACTGTCATATTACACCAAGTTTTGGGCTTCACAATAGAGTTCTTGAATCCCAAATCCTATCGATCCAAAACCACTAAATCTCTCACTACTTTGCACGTTTTCCTTAAATATTCCTCGTCACGCAACAGCGCAGCGACTTGAGGACCTGGAGTAGACCTATAATATATTTTATATTGACCTTCATTTAGTTGTACTTGGGGAACTCTGGATTTCTCATCCTCGACTATGTCTGTTAGTATCATATTACGAACTTTTTTCTGACGTTAAATCGGAATGGCAATGTCGATGGCAATGCGAGCAACAGACGAAGTGTGTGATGGTTCAATATGATTCAAACTCGGGACAATGCTGGCTCTCTGATGATCGTGAAATGACTCCCAAAGCAGGCTGTAGTATATTATTCGATTATTACATCAAAGGTATTAGACAACTTGCATCTTAGATTAATTTTTGATGTAGGCAAAAAAACTAAATTCCCGTAAAGAACTTATTAAAATTAGTAAAATTGCAGTAAAATTTGATTATGAAATGTTATAATATAGCCTTGTGAAGTTTGCATATTTTGTATATGTTTGTATTACGTACGGAAATTGTTACCATTTTTGAGCCGCACGTAATACGAACATATACAAAATTTGGAAACTTTTACAAGGCTATATAATTTCCAAGCTTTACCGCATTTTGCAAGCAAATTTTGTAATTTTACTAATTTCATTGTGTTATTTTTAGCTGTGGTGTTTGATTTGCTTCACTTTCCTGTAAGTTGTCCATTGCGCTTCTGCCTTTCCACGCAATCCATATGAAGAATATAGACAGCTGGGTTCAGATCGAGTAGTGCTATCCACCCGATGGGGATTTTTGCAACCATTGTAAAAACTGATGAAACAATAAAACTACAGATATGAATCATGCAGCCAATCAAAACTTTAATTTATAAATGCTGAAGTTTATTCTGCGTTATACCAATAAACGAACTTGTTTAGAAGGTTGAAAGAAATCACTATCCGATGGATAGTGCTATCCGCGCGCGGCGGTTTCGTACCACCGGCTCCAGCTAAACAGACGATTGCACAAGTAACTCCGATTGACAATCGGCGTTGTGGTCAAAAGCGTTGCCACAAAACACACCTACCATCATGCCTTGAATAGAGATGACTGTAGCTGCATGTCTGCTACATCCTTCACCTTGTTGGCGATAACGTCGTCGATTCCTCGAATAATCTAAGCAATTAAGTGGAACAAATTCACAACTGAATCCGTTTTCACTTTTCCAGGTCGCAATGAATGCGAAGGCAAACGCGGGAAATGTCATCGTAATGCAGCGTGTAAGACGAGCAGAGGACACAGAATTTGTGAGTGTGTTTACGGCTTTGAAGGAGATGGATGGAGTTGCAAAGGTACTTTGTTCACTAGTTGACTATGGCAACTAATGAACATGTATATATTAGCATTGTATAGCGCCAGCATACTGACTTACATTAGCATACATACATTAAAGCCCCGTTTACACTACGCTCAATTTTTGGTACGGCACGGATAAAATTGGTACCCGTACCACTTTTTTGGTTATTGGACTATTAGTCCAAAAACCAAAAAGTGGTACGGTACCAAAAATTGAGCGTAGTATAAACGGGACTTATAGCTAAATAGATAGTCCAAGAACCAAAAAAAGTGGTACGGGTACCAATTTATCCGTGCCGTACCAAAAATTTAGCGTAGTGTAAACGGGGCTTAATGCTAGCATACATTAGCAACATTAGCATACAACATTAGGTAATGTATTATTTGCTATCTTTCTTACGGAAGTACAATCTTTGAACACGAAATGATATAAATTATAAACCTTGTCAACGAATTTCATTAGGTATTCTGTCGCTATGTGTCCCATCATGCAATATGGTTATTATTCCAACACAATGGGGATAAGATTGATAGAGTAATATTACAAGAAAAACTGTAATGGAAACTTTTAAAAATTTTCAGCTCCCGGCATTCAGGCCTAGGGTGTAATTATAATCGGGGATGATATTCTTTGCGGCAACGACATAATTTTGGGATTTCAGTTGACTGGCAGGTATAACCAAAAACGGCTTTTTTAATGTATTGATCGAGTTTAGCGACAGTCCAAGACTCAAACTAGATGAATTACCGTTCAGTTTTTCTTGCTACAACCATTCTGATAGGAGAAAAATCGTCCACAACTGTGTTTGATTGCCCGTCATTTGGATGAAAAGTCACGTGATTGCAAACAAAGAATAAAGACACTTTAGAATGGTATATTGAAACATTGGGTCGTGAACGAAGCTTAATAATTTGGGGATCTTATTCATTTGTTTATTTTCTATTTCAGTTTCTATTTTTCAATTGCGCAAAACTAATTTTTATCTCTCATATTTCAGACATCAACGAATGTTCTTATTACAAAAACCTATGTGGAAAGCATGCTCAGTGCGTCAACAAAATCGGCGGTTATTCTTGCAAGTGCAAACGAGGGTTCGAACGTAAAAATGGAAAGTGCAGAAAAGGTACGTCGCGGTGACTTACTACTAAACACTCTATTTCACTCGCGAGTGACGCACGTTCGGCACTCAATGCTTCTGTCTTCACATCTTGGTGTCGAGGCCTACGGGACAATTAGCTTCAGTGTGAACAGCAACGTAGTTTAACGATCAGGTTAAACCCTTACAAAGCCATGGATGAATTTCTCTGAATAGTTTCAATAAATTTACTAGATAAACGCAAGCGAAGAACTTACGTGCATGCACCATCATCAACATTCTATTTTCATTGTGTCTCGAAAAGTGTGTGAAAAACATATTTCCTCCTGCTCTTTCCAGTGAAAAATAACACTTTGTTGCTTATAGTATAGCTGGTATATCATAGTTCTAGGTTTTTTACATTATTTACCAATTTTACCATAATAACGCAGTAATTAACCTTCGTTTTAGGAGGAAGATCAGTACAGAAATCCAAGGCAGTGAACGACTTGATTGTCCAATGGAAACGAGAGCACAAGTATAGTGCTGCCACTTCCGCTTACGTCACTTCCGTGTGGGTTCTTGTCTCTACATTTCTTCTTGCTCAAGCTTTTCTTGTTTAATGCGTCACAGGCCATTTGGTATATTGTATTTGTTCAATAAAATTGACCATGTATATCTCATCAGTCTGCTGTAGTACTATATAATTTTGGGAGACCTCGGTTCAACCTTTGGTCGACCTCTACTCAAGGTCTTAAAATAATTGAGGAGAAAGTTCTACCTTTACATTGACATCAGAAAATAGTTAGACTTTCGCGTCTTCTCGGATAAGGACGTTAAAATCGTCGGTACCTCGGATCCCGGATCCCCTGTTAGTTGGGATATCCACTCACCAATGAGCGAGAAACTTAATAAATAATACCGGTTGCAGTAAAAATTGCCTTGCTTTAGCCTTAGCTTTTGTAATCTCAATTATAAATTATTCAAGAAACACCCAAAAATTCTTATTGCTATGGCAATAAGTTCTTTTCTTTAAAAGTATTTCGCTTGGTTTCTGTCAGTTCATGCAGGGGTCCAATCATGATGGGTGCTCTCAAGATCCTTGAAATTCATAAAATCATAACAAAAGCCTTCAACATTGATTAAATAAAAAAAGTTGAAAAGTTTGCTTAATTTAAATATTCTAATTGTTCTAACGTTTGTTTAACAAATTAATAGCTCCTCATTTTTCAATTAATTACCACATTGATTTTATTTTTTGACATAATGTAAGTCCAATACAGCAGCTGATGAAATTGTAAGAAAAATACTAACAGGCCATTGTTAGTTCGCCTATTCATGTCTAAAAGCATCTAAGACTAAGAAAACAAAGAGGCACCGTCCACCATTTTATATCCCACGGTCTTCAATATTCTCTGCACAAATGGCTCGCTTGTTTGGATTGCTGTTCCTGTCGTTGTTTCTCGTCTATCTTTCAGAATGTGCACCTGTCAAACGCAAGGATTTTGCAATGGTAGGTATTACTATTGTGTCATGTGTTACTAGAATTCACTTGTAGTTTATACGGTTTCCTTATTATGGCCGCAATTTATGATTAAGAAGAATTTTGAAGCAAGTCTAAGCCGGTTTAATTTGGACTAGAGCCATGAACGTTAGCACAGCTGACAGCTTGTGAGTTATTCCTCCTCGACCGCGAGTGATGTCAATATGACTAATGATTTAAAGTGCACATGACGGCGAATTTTTTCCTCCATATTTTTATGCATTACCGTCAATTAAAGTACCTCTAAAATTATGAAGAATGGCCTTATTAATTCACAGCTCATCTTGTTTCCACTCACACGTTATCGAGCAACAGACTGCGATGGTAGTCTGATATCTCAGAAGTAATTCAACGAAATTGAATGAAATTTGGTATAGTCCGCAGTAAGTGCACCTTAGCGAGTAAAGATTTCAGAACGTTTACGTGGTTGTCATAGCAACATACTAGTTACCAGGTATCTCTCTTCTTGTTTGAGTAATATCTGAATATACTGTAGATAGTTTGGAACGGAAGTTTTGTTTACTTTAATAGTTTATATTGACCACGGCACCTAGAAAAACAAAAAATCTTTTCTATTTTGTTAAATGCAAAGAATTAGACAAATAGGACAGAGAAACCTGGTAACTAGTGTGTTGTTATGACAACCATGAACGTTCCAATATCTTTGCTCAGGTGCACTTTAATATTCACACTTATAAACATTCAAGTGATATATAAAACACACTTATTCACATATATATCGTGTCGTGTGCACTGAATGAGTAATTGAGTATTTACCCAGGAAAGTGTTTCATGACCAAGTTGTCCAAATTTGGTTATTATATTTAAATATCTATCCAAGAAATAGTGCTCTTAAGATGAATTGTCTTTCTTTCATTAGAAATTTCTATTGAAGTACAAATATCTGCATTACGGCAGAGCGACAGGTGCTGACATCAGCGCAGGAATCAAGAACTTCCAACAATTCTTCCACCTTCCTGTCAGCGGCGTTCTTGATGAGGCAACGGAGGATTTGATGAAGAAACCGCGTTGTGGAAATGGAGATATGGGGCGAGGTATTGAAGTAATGAACTGAGGAAGCGTTTATTATCAGCGTGTATATTGTTATGTAGCTATAGGTAGATACCCGATCGGCTACGTACATAAATAAACAAAATGGTGGCACAACTCGCAAGTTTATATAAACTACCAATTTCCAAGTTTGTGTTAAAGTAAAGAATGTAAAAGAGAAGAGCAATACACAATAGGCAACAGGTTATGCTGCTGAAACCGTTTAAGTTGATTCTTTTCATTTTAAACTCGTTCGAATTGGGCGAGCAACATTTAATAAAAGAAATTACTTTCTGACTAAGAACTCAAGTTATCAGTTGACCTCATTGAGCAGCCCAAGTATAAATGTGAAAGCAATCTTTCTCTTATGTTTTGAACTCTCAAGGAAAACGATTTCTGACATCAATACCGTGGTCAAAGAACAACCTAACATACAAATTCCTGAACCACGGTCAAGACTTACATCGGACGCAAGTTGAAAAGATCGTTGCTGAAGCCTTTGCTTTCTGGAGCCGTGTTTCTGGACTTACATTCTCTAAGTCTATTACAGGAATAGCTGATATTAATATCTTGTAAGTTGAAATATTGTATTCTGTATGTTGAATCCACATCTACATACAGCTGTTCCAAAAAAAGTTGTCCTTCAAAAATCTCAAACCTTAAACTCTTAAGCGCGCAAAGTGTGATGGGTAACTTCTTACTTAAGGCCGCAAACGTACGAATTTTGAATTGTGACTATGACAAGACAGATAATAAGCACTTACGATGTACAACTAGAAGTGTACTAGGATTATTTGCCCAATCAAAAGCCCTAAAAAGAAGTTACCCAATCACTCTTTGCGCGCTTAGAGTTTAAGGTTTGAGATTTGTTGTTTTCTAATCCAGTTATACGGCAGCATAAATGATTAAAATATTTTTGTGTGATTTTATATGATCTTGTTTTTATCTCAATATTTGTTTTAAAGATTTAGTCGTTATAACCACGGTGATCGTTATCCCTTTGATGGTCCGGGCGGTACTCTGGCGCATGCGTTTTCCCCCTCTGATGGTCGAGTACATTTTGACGAAGATGAGACGTATACTCACGCGACGCCGTTTGGCATCAATCTACTGTGGGTAGCAGTACATGAACTTGGTCATGCCTTGGGCTTACGACATACTGACATCTTTGGTGCGATAATGTTTCCTTACTATCAGGGATATAAGCCAGATATGCAGCTACACAGTGATGATATTCAAGGCATTCAGTCTTTATATCGTAAGCGCTCTTCATTGCATTTTTCTGTTATTTAGGAATCGGGCATTCTCAATACCATGAACCTGAAAGATTTTTTCTGCACTTAACTTGGTTGGAACTGAATATTAGGGAGGATGGATAATCCATCTTCAGTCCTCTCTAATTAAACTCCCCTTTCTTCTATTTTCTTAACTTGACTAATAGCTATGGTTTCTACTCTAGCTCTTCTTCTAACCTCCTTATTTCGAAGATATTCTGGTAGTGATATTCCTTGTATTTATCGGCATTACAGTTTCAATCCTCTATAATACCTCTCCTGTTACTACTTTCTTGATTATGAATTCTACTCTAACTCTTCTTCTAACGTCCTCGTTTCCTTGTCCTAACCTGATCCTAGCTTGTATTCATCGCAACATTCTCATTTCAACTTCTCTAATATTCTCCTCTCTTCTCATTTCTACTTTCTTGACTATGTTTGCTACTGCGCTTCTTCTCCTAACCTCCTCCATTGTAAAATATTCTCGTAGTAACCTTAATATCCATCGTAATATTTTCATTTCAACTTCTATAATATATTCTCTCTCCTTATTTCTACTTTCTTGACTTTGTTTTCTACTCCTGCTTGCTTCTCCTGACCTCCTCCTTTGTAAGATATTCTCGTAATGATCCATCGTAACATTTTCATTTCAACTTCTCTAACAGCTCTCTCCTTGTTTCTACTTTCTTGACTATGCGGCTTTCTACTCCAGCTCTTCTCGTAACCTCTTCCTTTGTAAAATATTCTCGTAGTAATCCTAATATCCATCGTAACATTTTCATTTCAACTTCTCTAACAGCTCTCTCCTTGTTTCTACTTTCTTGACTATGCTTTCTACTCCGCCTCTTCTCCTAACCTCTTCCTTTGTACGACATGCTCGTAGTGATCCTAATATCCATTGTAACATTCTCATTTCAACTTCTCTAACAGCTCTCTCCTTGTTTCTACTTTCTTGACTATGCAGCTTTCTACTCCAGCTCTTCTCGTAACTTTCTTCCTTTGTAAAATATTCTCGTAGTAATGCTAATATATCCATCGTAACATTCTCATTTCAACTTCTCTCACATCCTAGCTCCTCTCTCCTTATTTTAACTTTCTTGACTTTGCTTTTCACTCCAGCTCTTCTCCAGTTCTCCTAATATTAACTCTTCCTGTGTAAGATGTTCTTGGAGCCACATTCATTGTATCCATCGTAAGATTCTCATCTCAACCTCTAATATCCTCCGGATCTCCTTGTTTCCACTTTCTTGTTGATATCCTTTCTATTCAGTTCCCTTAACTTCCTCGTTTATAAGATGCTCTCGGAGTGAGATTTTGAGATAATTCAGTACTTTGATGAGATGTTTTTATGTTTTGCTTTTTCAGCTCCCACCCGACCAGTTAAAAATGACGCAGCGTCAACTGTTCCACCAGTCCAGCCAACTACCTTGAAAGGTCTGTAATATACTGTAAAATTGTCCGCAAACTATACTGATCAGAAAGGTCTATAATACTGTATATAGTGCAAATGAAGTACGTACATATCTATAATTTTGACATAAATCATTGGGATTCAATAATTTGCCACTATCTACCTAACGACTATATATAGAGTCTAGTGTCGCCCCTGATTGTGATGACCTTTACGAGGCTAATTATTGCCGAATTTATCCTGCAAATATGGCACTGCTACTGCAAGAAAACCTGCGGAAAATGTGAGTACTGCGAGCTAAGTGGATTTTCGCAAAGCAAAATAAACTAACCTTGAGCTTGGACATGAAAGACTTATGTGGATAGTCCTTTTACTGCAGAGAAATATTTTTCTCTTTAACAAATTTCTTTTGATGTTCAAGAGTAACTTTGTTTATCCATAATGCTGTTGTTTAATTATTTTTGCAGGTTGATGAAGAAGTCACTAATTGGTAATCATTTGAACCGAAACTATAATATTAATGATCAAATTTGTTGTGAAAGGAAATAGAATCAATTTCAAAACATTCTCGAGTGTGTACTGCGTTTTTAAACTAATATTTTACCGCATCGGCATAAATATAAGAAAAACTTTATTTGTGGTTAATAATGCAGTCGCAACTAGACTCTGTTTCGTTCGTCATTTGATACGGTCATTATTCAGCTACAATGCATACTCGAGTGATACTCGAATTTGTATAGCATCTTTGTCTTGACATTTTTTCTTGTTTCTTTGCATCTTCTGCTAATGTATGCATTGTTTACTAGGCGCATGCTGTATTGACCTTTCCTACCTACGTAAATAAGGCGAATAAACCATAAAAAACGATTTCTGTCAACACCTTAAATCTGTTGCAGTTTTTCTGGGCATTTGGGTGTTTTGCGGTCATTGAATATTTTGCGCGTTTCAAATTCTTGTGCTCCGATGCGTTATGCGCATGCGTAGAACAGATAAAATCTGGCAAAACAATTCGGTGGAGAAAATGGCCGCCACTGAATGAAAGAGAATGGTTGAACGTCTGGTGTTTCGTTGCGATATCCTGACCTGTTAATTGCTTTGACAAGCACACAACATTACCGTACAGGTAAATCATTTAGTATTCTTTATTCTTAGCGGAAAATTCGTGTCATATAACGCGCATGCCTGTCAACACAGGTGCAAATTTCTGAGCGACTTTTGTTGGCGAACCGTGTTGACATGGTTCGCCTGTCGCCTGTTTTGCTACGCTTGCAGCTCGCAATCTTGCGATTATAGTGTATAAATTAAAGCTCAAGCCTTGATTTTTACAGCAACGAGGCAACCAAGAGCTAGTTATTAAATGCTTAAGCGTTTATCGCTTTAAAATTGCGTTCCGCGTATAAAATAGCGGCTTAATACATTTGAATAGTATTATTAAATGGCTTACATGTTTATGTCTCGAATGCGGGCATGTATTGTCGCTCTTGTGAATATTTCTTAGATTTCCTAAGATCGCGCTTGGTATATTATTTCCTTGGATAGGATAGGAAAATATTGTAAGGATCGAAGTAGGAAGGCGGGTTAAACTCTTCAAATATTTTGTCACGGCTGTTCGATCTCGCATCTCATCATGCCGTGATATTGACTATATTTGATTGCCGTTTTGTCTATTCAAAACTCTATTGTGATATTCGTAATTGTCAGCTTTCATCAATGAATAACACTTGCTGTTTTGTGGGCCCAATGATCCCCCCGAAGTTTTAAGATCTTGCAAGAACCGATCAATAAGAATCCCAAAGATTTTTATTCCTCCATCTTCTGTATTGTTTATGTCCAACGACACATAACCGCTCGGAATGCTAAAATTACAAAGGCTTGCACTGTTACACAATTTGCAGGAAAAAGTGTCAGTATTCAATATATCACCTATATTGCAATGTGAAAATTTCTGAGACAAAATACCTACTCGATCAAGGTGTATCAAAGCCATCATCTTTAACCCTTCAACTCGAGAATTTTTGTCATGATCTCTTAATTAAATAAACCACAAGTATTTTTCCCCTTTCGTCATTGCGTGTGTCGTACATCAGCTTGAGCTTACGTATATTCGCGAGTCGCTATTCTTAATTGCTTTAAATAAAACATCTTAATATCGTTCAACACAAAAGTGTATTGGCATCTCAACAATATATCAGGATATTCATCAGGATATAACGATATCCGATTTCACTGTTCGGTAAATGACAGAGATACAGTATATGCTTCATGATCGCTTTATTGGCGAACTAAGGCACTTAGATCTGACGGAATCTCGCTCGCCTCAAGGTAAGGTGGGAATTTTTTGTATCGGTATTCAAATTTGATTTGTAAATCGATTAAACTATTCAGAAATTCGTTGTTTTGTGTGATGTTTTTGAGTGGAATGTTATATTTTCTATCCGCCTATGTTGTTTTTGGAATTTAAACAACGTTCTCTTGTGTAAACTCGAGAATTAAACACACTGTTTGTCTGGGGTTTTTGCAACTTGTGATGGAGCCAAGCCAATTTTTGGCTCGGGAGTTGATTCGCATCCGTGCGCTTGCGTTGAAATGGAATATTTGTAACAAATTATCGCTAATTTTTTCCTCGTTCCACTTCTAGACTTCGTTTGACGGAAGACCAAGTGCAGTGTTTACACATATGATTAGCACTTCAGCTTACCAAAGCAAATCAAGATGTCAATACTAGACGCCACTGCCGCCCCAACTTTAAAGGGAAAGTAAGTAATGGAGTGATTTCAATGATTTTGCATCAATGTATATTCTCATATATGTAATGCGTAATGCTTTCATTTACACCTTCAAAGTTTGAAGGTTTTTTGCCAGAAAAAATATCGTATTAGTCATGGATCTGAGATTTCTACGCATGCATAATCGTCTTGCACTTTCAAGAATAATCTAGCGAAGTATTAATATGGTAATTTAATTAGTTCTAAGTGGAAAATATTTAATAGTGACCTATATGCCATCTCGTACTATTAGTACAATTGTTTTGCAAATTAAGAGGGTGTTATAAAGGGCAATTTTTTATTTCGGCCTGTTTTGTTTGACATCTACCCTCCCTATTCAAAAATTTCTCAAGGGTCATACAGTGTCATCACTTGCCAGGCCATGAAAATATATTCCTCTTGAACTCTTCCTGACAGCAAAATCCAAGAATAAAAATTTCCTGTATAAGTCAAATATAAAACATGCAACATATGTAGATTTCAGAGAATATATGGAGCTGCACAGTGTGATAGATTTCAGCGCAGTCAAGACAATCTCAACTTACAAAATGCTTTTGGAATTTTTACAATGAGATGACAAAAATGTATATATATATATAAGATGACAAAAATATCCTGCAAAATAAAACATAATTTCCTGTGAAGATATTTTGTTACAAATTGCAAAAATTCATTCTTCTAAAGCTTATACAGGTACAGTATCTCTAGATCATCAGGCCTTAAAATGTTGGTCAGAGAACTGTCTGACAAAATGTTCGATGACTTTGAGTCCAATCAGATGTATGTATTGTGATGTCTGATGGAAATAAATATGAATACAGACACAAATTAATATCAGCACAATTTGGAAAAGTCATTTGAATCTTGGCAATGAATTTCCATATCCCACGGTGATGAAAACCCTGCACTTGATTACACATTTCCAGTTCACGTTTTATACATTACTCTGATTCTCCATTTAACATGTACAAGCCTCTAGTCCTGTACTAGGGTACATTTTGATTAACGTTGGACTAAGTTACAGCTAGGTCTGACACTAATTCACTCGGGTCGGACAAACATGTGGTTTCACTTAGGTCAGACAGAATATCCAGTGGTTTCCTCTCTACCTACATCAAACAATTTTAGGAATGGGTTGAAATATGTCTGTGACTGACATACTGACATACAGTATATTTTAAGGCCTACAGGTACATATAGTTGGTAGTTTAAGACATCTCATTATTACCAATTTTATTTCTTCAGCATTGAAAATGAATCCATTCCACGAGAACAAGCAGAGCAAATGCTTCAAGATTTGATCAATGACATGAGTAAGCTAGAAAAATTTTATCTTTGGAAACTTTTAATAATTATTATTGTAAGACTTGTCTATTTTGTAAATTCATCACTGTTTCACTGTAGATGATCAGAATTTTGATTCAATAAAATATGCATCGTACAGAACAGGAGCCAAGCTTTCCTTTATAATGTCAAAAACTAACTGTAAGTAATTCAAAATAGTGGTACATAAACTTGTTACTCCAAATTCTGCGGTACTTAACTGATTCATGCTGGAAGTTAAGCTCAAATTGCACATTTTAGCGATGTGGGTAATTCCATGGTAGTGATGACATTTTTTGAAAAAAAAATTGTCAAAAATTGTCAGAAGCTATTGGAAGCAATTCTGAACTGAAATGTTAACTGATGCACTTTATATGTAACACAAGTTACAGTATGTAACATGAGTCACGTAACATGAGTCACTTGTGTTATGTAGCAATCCTTACTATTGTAATCCAAAATATGAACTTTCTTTGTGTTGGTAGTTTGCCTAACATATAGTCTGTAACTTGATAGACATTGTATGTTTCTCTTTCCTATGGGTCCCAAACAGCCACCAATCTTATCATGTTATAATCAAATGTTTAATTTGTACTGTGAATCAGTAGCTTACCATTATTTGCACCCGCATGAAAAAATGTGACAGAAAAGATATATTAGTTATACACCAGATCAAAATGACTCTGATAGTTTGGTTCAGAATTTAACATGAGTCACCATGGAATTACCTTTTGGGCTTTTGTTGAGTTGACTTGTCGCTCTTTGCAGCATGCCACATTGTACTGTACTGACTCGAATCCTAGTCAGTGTGTTGTTAGCCAAGCAGATTTAAGAATTGGCCATGCGTTATGATTGATACTTTTATGTGTTTATATATGTCTTGTATGCATAGTCAAAACAGTTCTGAGGAAATTTTAAACATTTTTGAATTAGCATGACTGTCACATAATTTTCCTGCAAGCACGACAAGTTAACTTGCTCTCCTTCCCTCGCCCATTTGTTTTATTTACTCGTGTTTTTACTTGTTTTACTCCTTACAGTGCAAAACAAGTTACAATGTGTTACAGAACTGTACAATGCGAGTTGACTTGTGGCAAGTCTATGTTGCACTTAATTTTAGAGAAATTCCATTGTAGTGCAGTTTGGTAGAACAAATTTTTTATCATTTTTATTTGACAGTGAACCTCGTAGATATATACAACATGATAGAAGCATTCAGAGAAAATGGCCTACATATATTAGATCATGACAGTGAGATTCATGAATCAAGATTGGAAGCTGTTCTATCCAGTATATTTTATGCATTAAATAAAAGAATACCTTCAACTACTGATATTGATGTTGAAAGGTGTATTGCCCTTGTCAAGCACTGGCTGCTTTATGCCTATGACAGGTGTGTGCCCATTGAGTCTCATTGCGCCCTGGTGCACCCGACTTTATTATTTTACTCTGTCTAATGTCAGACGATTTGCTCATCAAGGGGAGAGTGCTGGTGCTTAATGGGTTAAAATACTGTATATTAGAGCTACTCCCAATTATCGATTGATTATCATCTTTTTTTTCCGCAATTGATTATACTAATTAAACAATAATTGGAATAATCGGATCATCTATGTCCAGTATAACATTTAAGTTTTATAACATGTTGAGTCGTTTGGTTTGCATAGCTTTTAATGGCACATGTCAAATTTTAATTGCTCAATATGACTAATCGATTGGTAATATTGATTAATCAATTATGAAAATGAGCCGATTGGAGCAGCTCTACTGTATATCAACTTAAAATTTGTGATGGTGGTTTCATGATGATGGTGGTGGTGATAATGATGTTATGACGATTATTGTGGTGATGATTATGATGGTGATGATGATGGCGGTGATGACTAATGATGCGGGTGATAATGCTATAGTGATAATTATTCTCAGTGGTAATGATGATAATGATGACAGGTGATGATGATGATAGTTTTGATGGTAGTACTGCAGTGAGGATGATGATGATATTAGTGGTGGTGAGAATGATGGTAGGCAGTTGTGTATTGAAAAAAATCGATACTGATCGAAATCGAAAAAAATATCGACTATATCGAATTATGCAAATGAGAAAACGTAATTTAGTCAACTTGCATGTATACGCATCACAAACAGTTAAAAAGAAGTGCATGAAACCAGTCATATATGGTCGGTAGTATGTCTCGGAGATTTATTAACAACGGTTTATCCATCATCTCGAACTTCGCTTTTAATTTCAATTGCCCGCGCACTTGTATCATAAATTCGCAATTGCCGCCATACATACGTTGTCTGAACTTCACGTTGTCTAAAACAATAATTGCGGAATAATCGGAGATTAAGTTGTTTAGTTAAAACTTTCGATATTTTCGATATATACGAAAAATTGAATATCGATATTTTTGAAATATCGATATTTATCGAAAATATCGATATATCGCAATTGCCTAAATGATGGTAGAATGATGATCTGATGATGGTGCTCATTGTGCTGATAATTATGATGGTGGTTATTGTGATGATGATGATGGTGGGTTTGACTGACACCTACCACAAATGCCGCTGGGTTAATCGAACTGAATGGTGGTGCTGGTGATGCGAGGATAATGGTGGTGATGTTGAGGGGCGTGATGATGATGACAGTGATCTTACATTGGCTATTTTATTTTAGTGATGCTAATGATAGAATAAGAGTGTTATTTGTGAAGGCATCGCTTTCTATGTTGTGCTCAGGACGGCAAGTTGACAAGTTAAGATGTGAGTTCAGTTGTTTGGTACAATTATTACAAATCTAGGTCTACATGTAATTTGACCACCTCAAACACGCACTGCATCATAATTTAACTTCTTGTATTTAGATGTTTTTTCTCAAGTGTCTGAACAAAACGGCAAGTTAAATTTCACCAAATTTGAAGGGTACTTAAAAGAAATCCTCAAGGTATATTAAATTTTGTTATCATTTTCGAAATCTAATCTTCGTAGCTTGGGTTGACAGTTTCTTCTTAATTGTCAGCTTCCAGAGGCAGTTGGTGAATCTCCCACATTTGGTTTCAATGAGGATGTAGTGAATTCATTCTTCAGACCTACTGGGGTAGGTATACAGTATGCCATGTATAGTTTGATAGCTTTGCTATACTGTAGAATTTTGTCAAGTACAGTTTAATGTATAGGACAGTATGTTATCTAAATATCGACAGAGATTGCCTCATTTGTGTGCTTGGAGCCACAAAAATGATTGAAAATGTGCATTTAAAATGTCTGCATGTAAAATACAAAATGATAACATTTGGGCCATGAATTATATAGTCAGGTGACTCAGCTCTCTCGATCCTTTATGAATTCATGCATTTTCTTCAATAAAATTAGCTACATACTATATTGATGATAATAATGACTATACTCACCATATCTACAGTATTTGTCTGGGAATTTTGAAATAAGCTACTGTACTAAATTGATAATTATTATGTTTAGAGTTACTTGTACATAACTGAGAGTTTTGACTTTTGATTATTTGGTTCAATATTTGACCATTTCCATATCATTTGAAATATTAAAACTCGAAAACCTTCACAGTTAATTGATAGAAATATTGTAACAATATTTTTTAAGTGAATGCGAGTTAAAGTGTGTTATATTGTAATTGACAATTGTATTATAATTTTGTAAATGCACTGTACAGCATACAGTAAACAAAGGAAATAAAATGTACACTGTATGTAATTACAAATGTATACTATATGCACATACAGTATATAAGATATAATATTTTTTTTGTCTTTTTGTAGCCTCTACGACAAGACGCAACAACCTTAGAACATTTTCTTGACTGTATTCTGGCCAGTGATCCTCCACCATCGTTGTTGTGGCTTACAGCTTTTCATAAAATTGTACATGCATCAAGAGGTACAGTACGTTGTTTTATATCCTCCATTTACAGCAATTATTCCACCCAACAATTGCTACCATGCAGCGAGGGGAAAGTCGTTGATTTCAATCACGTACAATTTGTGGTTTTGATCGACACCTTGCCTGTCTTACTCTTTCAACACAGTCTTAATTACAATAGAAAATAAAGGTGATAACACCGAAATTAATCTAGATCATCGCCAATTATTATTTGTGTATAATACAGTTAGTACTGTAGGTCTTTGACAGACCAATACCCTTTGGGGCTGTAAATTTCCCGTTTGTAATACAAAATGACTGAAAAACGGCAAACTTCACAAGGCTATATTATCCGCATTTTACAACATTTCGCAACGAAACTTTGGAATATTACTAATTTTTGTCTAGACTTGTTTAGATCAAAATTTAGTCTATAATGCAAATGGTCCATTAAGACTGTGTTGAAAGAGTAAAACAGACAAGATGTTGATCAGAACCACAAATTTATCGAACTTTTCCCTTGCTTCGACCAAGAGACTTTCATATAAATCACGTACACCTTCAGAAAAATGAAGAGAAAAACCCGACAAAAAGTCACAAATGAAAAAATTTAAAAGTCACAAAAAAAGAAACACAAAACAAAAAAGTCGCCTAAAAAGTCCAATGATTTTTTTTGTCTCGTAATCGTATACATTTTTAGGTCTGATTTGCCCCTCGCCATGTACAGTGTTGTTTTGTATAGTTTCTGAATCAGTATTATTGACACTACTTTACAATTTTCCCAACCATCTCTAGTGGTGATTGAGATGTATCTTGTGTTTTTTATATAGCCAAGCATGATGTTGCTTGTAAAGTATGCAAGAAATCTCCGTTCAAAGGTCTACGGTATAAATGTCTTCGCTGCGTTGGCTATACTTTATGCCAGGTACAAAGATCTTCAGTTTCACGTTGAAATATTGCATGTACGAAAATATTCTTTCTTCGGTGTAAAATTACATTTCTAGGATTTCATGAATAAATTTTATTTCTAGGATTGTTTCTGGAGAGGAAGAGTAGCTGGAAGTCATGCTGCTGATCATGATACGAGAGAATATTCAACTTGGGTAGGTTAACTCTTGATCTTTAATACTGTATGTTGTACAGTTATGTGTATACTGTGAAAACAAATTAGTTGAATTGGTCATTTGGGTGCACCTGAGGGAATTGGTTGAAAACATTTTTTTATCAAATTTATCAGTATGTTTTGTTTAATTAATGGTTAATTTTAACACATTTTAAACAACCATGCCTTAACAATATTATTGTTGAAATTGTTGAAATGGGTAAAATGGTTGATTGGTTGGGTAAACTGGCTGTCTCGCATCATGTTTACCAGTTTTTGAAATGGGTAAAAATTTAACCAATCAATTTTTACAGTGTAATGAATATAAATATTTTGTATTTGATAACTTAGTTTGCTTAGGAAGGCCAGTAAGAGAACATTTGTATTAAAAAATATTTTTAATGTTTTTCAGAATGAAGGTGAAAAGGGAACTCGACTTTCAGCTGGCAAGATATCAGATCCCTTGCCACCCAAAGTACCAGACTATCCCGAAGAACCTAACCCTGATCAGACCATGGATATGACACATATTGTGTAAGCTCTTCGAACCTTCAAATTTTCGTTAGGAACAGGGCTCAAAAGAATGGTCACGGTAAATGACCGGTGACATTTTTATGGTCAAATTTGTTTGAGGTTGGTCATTATCTCCGTACACACTCAGGTGACTTCGGTATTACTGTACATACATCTACTAAGACTTGAGACGAAATCTCGTTTGACCTCATCACACACGATGGCCGATCACTTTGACCACTGGACCAGTGTCTTGTCCAAAGTTGTTTTGATTTCTAAAGAGTCGCCACTAATTCTAAATTTCAACTTGAATTTTCTTTTACCAGTCCACCAGTCCAGAATGATTACTCCGCCATGAATGGTGTTTCTCACTCCACACCAAGCTCGTCAGGCAAGCTGAGTGATCCAGACAGCTCCGATTCAAGGTCAGTGGTCAGTGGATGTAGTAAGGCCTAACAAAATAATATCTTGTGGTTCCGGTTTCCCGATCGACCCTCTTTATTTCCGCCGACCCTAATGTTTTCCGACCTACCATAATTTTTTCGGGATATGAAACCGGAACCATATGATTTTTTTTGTTGGGCCTAAAAAGCACCACTAACTGAGATAAATCGTAGTAGAATGCCTAGCTATCTAAATTTACAGTACAGGACCTCAGAACCAGTTAGGGCCGAATTGATGACGAATATACTGTACGTCATGTTTATTCTATACAAAATTTTAATTTTGTTTTTAGGATGGATGATGAGCATAAACTTATTGCTCGTTATGCTGCCAGGTAAGATTGCTTCCATAAAACAGACTGAGATGATATCTTTCGATATTGATATGGATTTTAACCAGACGTTTTTCTATGTACTGTACAGTACTAACAAATGTAACAATTAATGTCTTGTTAATATTATTGTTTTGTAGATTGGCAGAAAGTACTGATGGAGGGCCAAATACGAAGAAGACGTCAGCTGAACTCCGGGAAGACCTGGAACAGAATAAAGCGAAACGGAAAATCATTAACGATTTACAGTCTAAGAACAGGTATGTCTATTCTCGTACAGTATCTGAGTATGTTTAGTTTTTATCAAGGATGGATCCAGCTTAATCTGAGGCAGAGATAGAGTAAAAATGTGGTTGTCGTGAACTAATGGGGGCAGGGAAGCGTGTTCCATACATTAACAGCCCTGACATAGAAGCTGTTTTGAAAGCTTACAGTTTTGTACTTGGACGCATCAAATAAAATTCCGTTGGTTGCATTGGCATTCCGTGTTTCTCGTACAAGAACCTTCGTAAAGATGTTACTGTCAAAGTCGAAAATGATGGACTTGTAAAGATACACCATATGTAAGATGGACGTTTATGTCTGATGTAAAAAATGCATATTTATTGTACTTTACAGGGAAATACTGGAGGAGATTCGAAACCTTCGCGAAGTACGTGAGGCTGCCGCTGACCAACCAAACGGTACGACTACAGACCCAGCTCAGATGGAGGAACTGAAGGGATTACGTCAGAAGAAAGATGAACTTGAGTTACGGATGAGCGCTCTTCAGGAGACTAGGAAGGAGTTAATGTCGCAGTTGGAAGGACTGATGAGTATTTTGAAGGTTAGTGTCATGTGTGTTCTGGAGTTTTGAAACTCAATCTTTTTCCGTAATAATATTTTTCACAATATGCTTTGAAAAAGTTTGCCAAATGTGAATAATTAACTGTAAAAGGAAGAAAGTACGTACTTGATCGTCGTGTATTTTTTAACACACCAGTAAAACATGTTTTAAAACGGCTATATTTTTGCTCGAAAGTGCTGTCGAAATGCGGGAAATGTTATTTCATAGAGGCAAATTCAGAAATTTTCTGGGGTGGATGGAAGTGGGTTTTATATTTCTCCTTCTAAAACTCCGAGAAAAAAAAAACGATGGTAGACGAAAATGCTTGTATTGATCCCTGAATGTCACACCATTGTATCGCGTTTTTTATCTTACCCAGAATCAACAAATAACGGTAAAAATACCTTGTTCGGTACATTTCCAATAAGAATCAGATCAAAGATGCAAGGATTCTCAAAGGATGGTTTAAGTATGCGACGGATTACAAAAATACTGTACTTTTCCAGATTTATATCAATACGTGTATTTGGCTTATAAAACGGCCGCCAGTAGGAATTTGAGCCCGCAATACCATGGTGTGACACTAATCCTTTAAAGCTAACCATAATATGGTTGTATAAACCTCTATCTGGTTAATATGTACTGTACTATTTACAATATGAGCGGCCGTGTTGTATCGGATATACAAACTCGAACCGAAGGCTTGTGAAACGTCATGACGAGAACATTCGTATTCTTCAACAATTTAAAATAAAATGTTTAAAGATGATGTCCACTCCATTTTGCGCATCAGTTCTGCTCATAACAAAGGGGGACCCCCAGATATAAACATTGCCCAAATTTTGCATCTTTCGAACTTTTTTGAATTGAAACGTACAGTTTATATTCATTTACAATAGGCTGGATCGATATCGCAAATACCGAATACCGATATACCGCCATCAGAATACCGGTAAATACCGGTATTCCGGTATTTTTAACGTGTTTCTTTTTAAGCCAAACTGAAGTGCTGACCGTCAAGAAAAATCAAGTTTTGACAAAATATTAATGTAGCACATACTGTTATTAGTGCAAATGTCACAAGATTTGCATTATCAAGCTATGTTAACAATTAACAGCGCTAAGCGGCAATTATTAGTAGGGCGTCGAAGTGTTGAATCATTCAGAAAAATATTCGTTTTGTATATAAATTCAGATAGTGTTTCAGTAAGTTGCTAATAGTTATAAACATAAAAAACGTTGCATTTTTAAAACTAACACATAAACAAGTTAGCAAGCATGTAAAAAAAACTAGAAAAGCCTGAAAAGGTTTTCGCTGCTTCGCAAATGCTAGTACTTCCACCTTCCAAATCAAAGTTTTCTTTTTTGTCGAAATTTTCCTTTAAAAATTTCGCCATTTTTATCACAAAATAAGGACCTTTTATATTTCCGATTAAGGCGATTTAATAAACAAGACGTCTGGTATTGCTAAACCAAAGCCGCTAGAACTGTAAGAACAAAATCATGCATCTGTGAGTATTAACTTTGCTTTCTAAACGTGATTGTAAGCAAATTTGACTTGAAATAGCGTTTCATTTTGGTATTAGGCAGCAAAATACCGAAATGTCGGTATATCGGTATTTTTAAATTGTCAATATCGCCAAACCGGTATCTAAACAAATACCGGTATATCGGATATATCCGGTATATCGATCCAGCCTAATTTACAAGCATGGCGAACCAGAAAAGTGTTAGATATTCAGTTAGTACAGTATATCATATTTTGCAAATACAGCAGTTCAAAACGTAAAGAAAGTTCGCACATGTGCACAGGAGTGGACATCGTCTTTAATATTTGGTGAGAAAATTGAACTTAAAGTTCATGCAAGTCATCATGATTTTGTATCAGATATACAAACTCCTTCACGCTCATGATTTCTTTTGTGTTTTCTTGAAATATTCCAATTAGTATACAGGGTGTATAAAAAAAAGCGCAATCCTCGACTGAAATGTAAATTGCTAAAGAAATAATAGACGAAAACGTTAAAGTTTACATTCATTTTAAAGCGTAGCCATTCAGCTTTCTAACAGTAGGTTGTTTCTTAAATTTGACTCATTGGTTCGCGGGTAATAATACTTTACGTTATTGCGATTGGAGATTAAAAAAATTGAGATGGAATAACAAATCGTTCTCATGAAAATAACTGATTTTTTCATTAAAACAAAAAATGTTGCATTTTAATAAATGGATTGTAACAATAAGTATAATTACGGCTTTTCTTCCACTATTTTTAACACAGTTTGAAACTTCAAATGCGATATAATTTTGGCTTGGACCATCTAAGCTGACTGACATCAGCTTGCTATAATTTCTGTTTACATTACATCGCAATTCGATGACACTCTGGCTCAGACACCAGAATGTTTTGATTCTATGATTTTTAGCATTCGTGTAGGATTTTCAAACAACCTGGTCTCTTTTAAAATACTTTTAATTTGTTCTTACGTGGTTTTCCAGATGTAGTGACGACAACATTAAAGTTTAAAGAAGAAAATTCTAACATTTAAACCGACTAAACAATAACATAGTAAACTTGCATAATTAAACAGCAACTAAAAATGATAGGTTTTACTAAATCTTTTCCTGTGCAATTATTACTAGCATTGGAGACAAGGATAATAGTTTGTTTGAAAGAGAAAAGAACAGGCTTTGAAGTAAGCCTAAAAGCGTTTAACTAGAAATAGTATTTCGAAAGTTATTAATCACAAAAGATGAATTGCGTTTATTTTGATACACCCTGTATAATATTTATTTACTTTTATAACTGTAATTATAGTGTATTGTATAGAGCGTCAAACACAGAGAACAACGTGGATTAATGGTGTTCAAATTATGAATGTTTTTTCTGCACTTTTTTATTGTCACACCCTTTAGTGTAATATAAAGTTCAGCACTTTAATTAATTTTTTTTTAAATTATATTATTATTTATGGGTGACATTGACTGCATTAGTTTATTTTGTATACAAACGTTTACATGGATTCATGAAATTATCCAATGTTGTTTAATACAGTTTGTTATTTTCTGACCATTGCCTCACCATAAATGAAACAACCTTAAATTACTGTATTGAATGTACAGTAGATCCCTATAATATAATATAAACCACGAAATCTTTCGAGTTTTCGTCACCATTAATCTGCACTGTTCTATGTGTTTCAACCAAATCTTCCTAGATTAAACTTTATCCTGATTCAAAACAACCATTAATCCACTCTGTTCTCTGTGTTGTAGGCAGAGCATCTTTAGTCTTGGGGGAAGATGGACTCTTAGTTTTGCGAACTTTCTCTCCACGCAATTTCCCGTGGATATTTTGGAAGCTATTTTATGAAGCCTGAGGCGAAGATGTTATAAATATGTAGGAAATTATCGATTCATTCGGTGGCATAATTAGAAAAAGCGGTTAGCGTGCTTTTATATAGTATAGTATAAACAACTAAACTCTCAGATAATTGTAACTCGTACTAATAGCTTTTTAACCAAAAGGCCTAACAAAAAATATAGTCTGTGCCTACTGTAAAATTACTTGAGATTGATGGGGATACAACTTCGCTCAAAACGTCGAAGATATCCTTGTATTTTTCAGGTAGTTGTATCCCTATCAATCCGAAACCTTTTAACAAAAATATCTTGTGGACCCTGTTTCCCGACCGACCCCCCTCTTTTTTCCGACGATTCCTCTAAAATTCCTTCGTTACGAGTAAACACGAAAGACTTTGCCAAAATCTAACCAATGTTAAGCAAAAAAAATTCAAAAAAATTTATTTCTTATCTGCCTACAAAATTTTTTCAGGGTACTGTATATGAAACTGGGACCATAGCATTTTTTGTTAGGCCGAATGAAAATGTTTTATGTTCATGTGTTGATAGTTTCTTAGTTAGACTGACAGGAAGTAAAGTGAATAAGGTGAGAACGTACCCGTCGATGGTTTTCTTATGAAAAACCTTACACTCTAAAAACATCGTGGTTAAAAATTTTCTGGTTAATCCAAAATTGACCCTCGGATAACTTAATGTTCCAGGTTAAATTTTCTGGTAAATGTGACCACAGTGGATGCTGGTTGATATGATTGCTATCGTGGCTAATATGACCAACCAGGATTGCCGGTTAATTTAACCATAGTTGATAAAACACAAAACAATAGACACTCCGAAAATTGTAAACATTTACATTTTTTACGTTTCGGCTATAATTTTCGTCAGTCTTCTTCTGAAGATGACTTAAAGTATAGTCAAAACGTAAAGAATGAAAATGTTTACAATTTTCGGAGTGTCTGTAGTTTTGTGTTTTATTAAAATACTTACATGGCAAACGCCATTTTTGGCCTATGGTTGAATTGACCTGATTATGTTGGGTGGACTATTAACCGAGAATTCATAATCCACCTAACATCATATAGCTGGTTAAATTAACCACGATAGTGATCAGGCTAACCAGGGTTGTGTTTCAATTAACCAAGAAATTTAACCACAAGAACATTAAGTTACCTCAAACATGGTTCATTTTAGATTAACCAGGAAATTGTTAACCAGGGTGTTTTAGTCAAAGCAGGGCGTTTATAAGGTATCTTATAAACGCCCTGGTCAAAATTTGTTTTAGGAAATAGAGCTAATTATGGTGGAAAATGTCCGACAATAGCAGCATTGCCATTTGGGACTCTTTTAGGGCTTGCTACGGTTATGTTTCAGTAAAACAAGACAACACATTGATACAGTAATCCAAATGACATTATTTTTATTAATGAAGTTTCTGTCTGGTTGTACTCAATATTGATGTCGCTATTGTTCGGACATAATCTTTTTTCATAAAATGGCATTTAAACCAAACAGGACCTAGGTTATGTACCGTATATTAATTAATGTGGTATATTTTACGCATCATATACGTTTTAAATTTAGCATTTTAATTATGTCGAGGTGGATTACTGTGATAACATATAGTAGAGAATTTTAGATTTATATAAAGAATATTTTATAGGTTTATATTTTGTATTAGTGTTGGCTCATTTGAAGTTTTTTTGCATGTTTGCATGCATGGCGATTTCACAGTCGACGATAAAGGGCTCTAAAGGAGATATTTCGTTCACGAAAACGAGGCTGTATAGCCAAGGGTATGTACCCTCAGGAAGGGTGCATTGCAACCTCCCCAATTCGCCATTCCGAAGTTCACGAGGAGACTGGGACGCAGTATATTTAAAAGTAACAAGATGCAACCTCGTGCCCAGGGCTTTTGTCTGGGTACGAGTTTGTAATAAAATGAAGAAATAAGTGTTTGAAACAACCCTTTTCTGTTAATTCCAAGCCTGTCGCTTGCAACAGGTTGAGCAGGCATCTACACTTAACGTCTTATTAATACGGGGTATGTAAATTGGAGCGGTTATAAGCAATAACCATTCCAAATCCAAAGAGATGCAAGCAATTTTCAAATACTCTTTTGAAAGTTATTGAATCACACTTTTATTATACGAAACTTGGACTGCGTGCGATAAAGATTGTACACGAAGTTGAATAATGGAGGTGACAGGTAAAACAATACGTGCAGTACCCAATCTGTCACAGGTAAAAAATAAGGAACATTTCGAACGCTGAAAGTCCGGAATATCAAAATGAAATAAAAAATAAAACTGCAGTTGGCAGATGCAGATGAACTATATATCCTCAGTCTCCTAATCAGCTGGCTCAACAGTGAATCCATTGAACCTAAGTTAATAAAATATTAACTCTTATCATTCCAACTGCAGTAAATTTTAGAATGCAAGCTACCTTAATAGTGAACCTAATAATAGTTTGACATTTCAACAGTAAAAGGCGTAGGAATGTACTCGCATTTCTGAATGTTTTGACACAAATACACGGCACGTTTTTTTCGGGCGAGGGAAAGCATCCTAGGTTTAGGTAATACTGCACGAAGCTCGTTCTTGTCAAATTAAAACATAAACAACCCAAGCTTGCAACGCATCAGCAAAAGTCGGGCAAAAAGTAGTCAAAACAAGAAAATCTCTCTTAATAATAACCCCAGTTTGTTGGGCAAACAAAGCCAGTTGGGCAATTTTCGCTTCACAGTCGGGCAGTATTTGTTTTTTGGAAATATGTCAATTTGTCCGAAAAATTTTTTGACCCCTAAAATGGTACACTGACCGAAATTTTTTTGGCGACCGGGGGGGGAGGTCGCCAAAAACAAATTTTTCCGGAACAAAAATTTTTTCGGCACTAGTCGGGCACAATCCGAAAAAGTCGGGCAAATTTCTTTCTGCCCCCCCCCCCAATTTTTTGCTTCCCTTACGCCTATGTGACTTCACATGCACTCGTCCACCAAACAGTTCCATCATGAATATTGTACCCGGACCAGCCGGCTCATGGTTAAAATTTAACACATTGTTTTGGTTTTTCTATTTCATCAGGTTTTTGCATTTCTATATCTCATCTTTTATTCTAACGCCCGTATTCTAAAAGCACACTCACTCAATAAGTGGAAGTTTAATCTGAGCTTCTCTTGAGTGTCATTGCTGTTTTTGAATAGCTGGAGGGTTAGTGTCATACCTTACTATGTGACTACTTACCTTCTAGCTATTCAAAATCAGCATTGACACTCAAGAGAAGCTCAGATTCAACCTCCAGTCATTGAGTGTGAATGAGCTTTCAGAATACAGCCATAAGATTATAGACAGATCTGATGATTGGTCCTTATTGCTTTTTAAAGAATCTGAACTCAATCATAAAACTAAGGCGTCAAAAGCCCCATAATATTTAACTACTTCTTCCTCTCTTCTATATGTTTGGATATATATCAAACTACTTCAATCTTCACCTATAAATATCGTTATGTAACCTAGTATCATTCCTGATGATGACTAAAACATAGCCGAAAGCTAGAACAATATATATTAATGGTTTTTTTCGGAGTTACCGTCGTTTTGTATCTTAATTTCTGTTTATTCTATCTCAATTTTCAGGCTGGCTCACCCAGAACGCGTTCCACTCCCAATTCACCGTCGACTGTCCCCAGGAATCCCGACTATAACATCCGCTCTTCACCCGATCAGACCCCAGGCCACTCCTCGGTTCACGGCAAAGTTCACCCAAGTCATCAAGGAAGAAATCTTCGAAATGATCTAATGCATGCCGCTGACAATGTCACCAACGCAATGTCGTCGCTTGTTAATGAACTCACTTCAGGTAAATATATAGATCAGTTGATCTGACAGGGAGGAAAAGGGCCTGGGGCTAGCATCCAAAATCCGAGTATAAATACATTTCGCTGTATATATGCCCTTCGTGAAACTATTTGAAACTTAACTGGGATAGAAAAAGCAAGTCCACAAAAGTATCGCAATAAAATGTGTCTATCGTTCAAAGGCTTTCAGAAATTATTAACGGGGTAGGGCGGTGGGCGGTTGCCCCCTCCCCCTCCCCTAGTGCCTGCCACTGATTTATCGATAGCATATATAATGTTGGTCTGAATTTAAGCCTTGCGCGTGCTTACTATATTTGAAAGTTGTATGAAATTCAATCCTGATGTCAGTAAGAATTTCAAATAATTGATTGAAATGATCGATTAATGATTATCTTCAGAAGATGATGATGACGATATGAACAACAATATCAGGTCTAATGGGATGCCACCAATGATAACCGCTGACCACACAAGTCGTCCTATCCCAGCCGAGGGATGAATCCATAAGATTCCTGTGACAGATGTCAGCTACGTAAGCTTTTTTGTATGCATATATTATCTGTGTTATCATATCGTTATTTGTTTTCTGTTAATAAACGTTTGCATGACAGATCTGCGTCAATACACCCTTCCATAAACTACAGTACTTAGCCTTGATTATAGAACCCCGTTTTCGGAATTGAAATATCGGGCTTCAGCCCCAATATTTTGTTGATACTTAAATTATATAAAAATTTTCGGATTGATAGGGATACAACTACCTGAAAAATACAATTAAGGAGAACTCGACGTTTCGAGCGAAGGCTCTTCATCGGAAAATTTTGTTATTTTCAATAGACAACTTGCATGTTAGACTAATTTTTTATCTGGGCAAAAAAAGTAAATTCCCCTAAAGAACTTATTAAAAGTAGTAAAATTGCAAAATTTGGTTACGAAATGTTGTAAAATATGGAATATTTTGCCTTGCGAAGTTTGCATATTTGTATTACGTGCGGAAATTGTTACCATTTTTGAGCCGAAAATAGTAACAATTTCCGCACGTAATACAAACATATACAAAATTTGCACATTTTGCAAGACTATATTTTCCAAGCTTTACAACATTTCGCAACCAAATTTTGCAATTTTACTAATTTCATTATGTTCTTTTTAGCTGTGGTGTTTGATCCCCTTCCCTTTACTTACATTAAAATTTAGTCTAACATGCAAGTTGTCCGTTCCCGACCCCCGACGCTACTAACTTCCCGACGATGGGCCTTTGCTCGAAATGTCGAAGTTCTCCTTGTATTTTTCAGGTAGATGTATCCCTATCAATCCCAAGCTTTCAAATTGTATAAAAGTGTTTTATATTATCTAATACAACTGTGCGATTTCGTAAATGTTTCACCTGTAACAAGATATTATAAACGGCTTTAAATCCCGAAAACGAGGCTCTACATACTACAACCAAAGCTAAATACTTGTTAAATATTGGTGTATTTTGAGTGTTCTATTTTTAAAGGACACTGGATGACAGTAAAAAAATAGTTTGTCTCATTTGAAAGAGCTTTTAAAATAATAAAGACTTCATATAGCTTTTTCATATCTTGCTTAATTGACTCTTGAAATATTTGTCCGCCATTTTGAATTATTCATGATATGCATGTTGCGACAAGTGGGGTCACGCAAACTTTTAACTAGACAGCCAGTGATCAATATGAGCCAAAATTGAATAGAAATATTTTTAAAAACTTGAAAGTAATTTAAGGCTATTCCGACACTTGACGTCATCAAAACCGCAGTTAATGAAGTTAAGAATTAATCCAAGATGGCGGAAAGTTCATTGTTTTCAGTCAAAATATTTCAATTGTCATGAATGTAGGAAAAACCTGCAACAAAATTTAATACATAAATTTAAACGTTCCGTCAAATGAGACAAACTATATTACCTCAGTTCCAGTGTCCTTTAATCGATCAACTCGAACATTTCCATCTGAAAATTGTTCTTAATTTTTTGATACTTTGAAGCCATTTTAGCTCTGTTTATTGTATAATGTACAGACTCATTGTGTTTTCTGACCCATAGTCTTAATTTGCTTATAATGAAAGTAAATGTAGTGCAATATTCGCTCTCCAGGGTATAGCGGTTCTTTTGAAGATGCCGCAAACTCTTCTCGCGGAGTAAAGATGACCACTTTGGATAGCCAAATTATATGTATTGTACTTAGCTTAGTATTTCTTTGGATTTTTTTGGATAACCTGTTTTAAGCTTATTACGTTATAAGGATATATTCTATTGTTTTATTTTTGTATAAAATGTCTTTGAGTTTTGTATACACAACGTATCTTTAAATATATATTTTGAAATTCATACAACAATGCATATATAATATGGCTTTGAAGAAACTACATGGCTTTTCATTGGCTAATTAATTCAAGCGGCTCAGCACTAAGCTCGCAACATCCGCAGACGTTTATATTTTTTCCTCGCGATGTGAAAAATATCAAACATCATCGATATTTTCCTCGTGGCTTCGAGAGGTTAAATCTATTCGTAATGTGACGATATTTTGCTCTCAGACTCAGTCAAAGTTGAATGTGTCAGCAGTGAAAATTAAAACACATCGTAAAATATAAATTGGCTCACGCAGTATTTAAGTCAAACAATTTTTTAGTTAACTATAAAAAGTAACATGATAAGCAATTTTTCAATCCATATATGCAAGCGAAATTATAGCCCTAAGAAATGCGCAAAAAGTACCAAAACGAGGCTAGTGAGGCTTGTTTGGCGAATCTAGAAGAAACTCCGGTATACTTTTATTTAAGAGTCATAATTGAGAGTCATCGGCATGGTATTATAATTAAATGTTGTAAAACTGACAGTCTTGTTGAATGTTGAAGTATTCTGTAAGGCAGCAGGGATTACGTCGGTTGAAATTACATGATTTCGGCAGAAAAAAGAATAGCAATTGAATCGGTCTATTAAAGCGACTTATTTCATCTGCGTGTAAAGAAGGGCGAAGAAAGATCAATAATTTTCGATTGTATTAAAAATTTAACTCGTGTATAACCAGCAGGAATTTAAATTATAAAAAAAAACTTCCTATATCTCTGTCCGTTAGTTAATAAATGATGTGATGTTGTTTTAGCTTGGACGTTTTTTTTTTTTATATAGACCTTTGTATATTGTTGAATATAGGGCGGCAATTTTTGATGTTGACTAACTTAATAAGTTTAAGTGTGCATACGTGCAAACACATACGATATGGTCGCAATGACTAATGGGACACTAATGGTCGTAAATATAGTGTCACGATCTTTCTTGACAACGGCCAGTTTATAACAATTTATACCTGTAAACCACATATAAATCATAAGATTCTCTAGTTATAGTCACTCCACGTATTTTCAGTTCGAAAATGTTCTATTTCGGCTGATGAGAAAGATCGTGACTCAGTCCTTGCGACCGTTACGACCATATATGGAAACCAGGCTTTAAGATACGATGTGAATGCATCACTGATCTTAGACCCTCCATATAACTGGATTGATAAGTGCAAGTGTTGACGTTTGATGACTGCGTTAATTTAAGGTCCGTTTACACTTACAATTTTTGCCGCGATTTCTAGTGCGATTCTCGTCTTCTGATGCATGTGAATGAGTAGATGAGGTATGAATGCTTTGAGTATATGTGCCCTCGTCTGAACATCCATAACTCATCCACTCGTTCACATCCGTCAGAAGACGAACATCGTACTAGAAATCGCAGTAAAACTTGCAAGTGCAAACGGTCCTTAAGGAAAGCAGTAGGGAGCTTATGATGTGCTAAACCTATATTCTAGAACGCAGACGTGACACTTTTATTTGTGTTGTTCTTTAAGACTTGTCACCGGATTATTAATTTCCATCTGCCTTTGTTTGCAAACAGAATCCCGACTTCAATTTTTTTCCCGCCGTGTTACTGACAATGTGAATTTAGATTTATCTTATCTTATCTTATCTTATCTTAGGCTGTCTAGTAAATGCATTGCATGGAAGGACCCTTTCCCAGAACGTTAATACAGGTTTCGTATTTCTTACAAAAGAGTCATATATGCCAAAATATTTTTGTTTGAAACAACACGAAAGTTAATTGAAACTGGGTGTTTTCAATTCCAAAGTCATGGGGAAAAAATGAAAGTAAAAACTGCTCAATGTTGCAAATTATTCTGTTGAAACATGCACATTCTAATAATTAGCCTTTCTCACGGTGACGAATATCCGCCATTTTTGGGTGGCATCTAATTCTTGTTAACAATGCAGACAATTATAAAACAATGTGAGAAGCAATTTTTCATGAAACTAACCATTTACAAAGCAAATTTACCATCATTCGTCCAAAAAAATATAAAGAATCGCTGTTACGTGGACTTATCTCGCAGACTTCGGTTGAAAAGCCACCCAAAAAAGCCACCCAAATTGAAAAAGTTAAATTTTGTATTGCAAGAATTATGCTTTTAAAATGCATGCAATTGTATTATTTTACGGATATCCAAATTGTAGATGAAAATTTGAGCGCCTTAGCAAGTAAATTGCCTGTGTATTGTCAGTTAAATTATTCAGTCCATCTCATATTAGCTTATAGAGCTGTGGGATTTTGGATTGTAGTCGATATGATGTATTCCATTCAGTTTTATAGAATCTAACTTAAAAAGAAACCTCAAAGTTTTTCTGTACAATTTGAAGTCCGCATCGTTGCTGCGTTAAAGTTGCAATGTTATATTTAGAGTACAAAATTGGCAGACTTAGCAAGCTTAATTTGGATCCATAATTGCTCGTCATCTATTGGATTTCGCTATGTTATGGCGTTTTCTTAGTTGCTGTCGGTGCAATTGTCATGTTCCTTTATTACTTCATTAAAGTTTGATTAGGATATTTAAACATCGTATTTAAATAGGGATGAAAATGATCATGCCGCCTGCAAGTGTTTACTAATTGTGTGTTTACGCTTTTCTGAAGTCATGAATATTCGAGATGACTATTTAGGACAACACCTGTTCTGGTAAAAGAATATTTAAACAGTTTCATTTGAGAAATTGGACATCCAATTCGCCTCGTACGTTGTCAAGACAAGTGCACAGCGTTAAAGAAAAACCACAAAGAATTATATACTGAAAAGATGAATTTAAAAGCACAGAAGCATGGAATGGTTCTGTTCTGCGCACTCATGCTCGCTTTGAAGCAAGCATACGGAAAGCCAATCGTGACTTCCTCCAACTTAGTCAGTGACGAATTGGCTGGAGAACAACCGTTCCACGGTAAAAGAGAATTCGCTGGAGAACAACCCTTCCATGGCAAAAGAGAATTGGTCGAAAAACAGCCCTATCACGGTAAAAGAGAATTGGTTGAAGAACAACCCTTCCATGGCAAAAGAGAATTAGTTGAAGAACAACCCTTCCATGGCAAAAGAGAATTAGTTGAAGAACAACCCTTCCATGGCAAAAGAGAATTAGTTGAAGAACAACCCTTCCATGGCAAAAGAGAATTTGCTGAAGAACAACCCTTCCATGGCAAAAGAGAATTAGTTAAAGAACAACCCTTTCATGGCAAAAGAGAATTAGTTGAAGAACAACCCTTCCATGGCAAAAGAGAATTAGTTGAAGAACAACCCTTCCATGGCAAAAGAGAATTTGCTGAAGAACAACCCTTCCATGGCAAAAGAGAATTAGTTGAAGAACCACCCTTCCATGGCAAAAGAGAATTAGTTGGAGAACAACCCTTCCATGGCAAAAGAGAATTAGTTGAAGAACAACCCTTCCATGGCAAAAGAGAATTAGTTGAAGAACAACCCTTCCATGGCAAAAGAGAATTAGTTGAAGAACAACCCTTCCATGGCAAAAGAGAATTAGTTGAAGAACAACCCTTCCATGGCAAAAGAGAATTGGTTAAAGAACAACCCTTCCACGGTAAAAGAGAATTTGCTGGAGAACAACCCTTCCATGGCAAAAGAGAATTAGTTGAAGAACAACCCTTCCATGGCAAAAGAGAATTAGTTGAAGAACAACCCTTCCATGGCAAAAGAGAATTGGTCGAAGAACAGCCATACCACGGTAAAAGAGAATTTTCTGCAGAACAACCCTTTCATTTGAAAAGAGAATTTGCTGACGAAGAACAGCCATTCCATGGTAAAAGAGAATTTGATGTAGAACAACCATTCCATGGATAGAGAAATTATAAAATTACAAATTTAGACGAAAAGTACTTATCCTGAACATATAAGAAAATAGAGAGGTACATTTAATTGCATGCATCATTGAATAGACACTGTATTCACCTTAATATCATAGTATGACTTCTGCACTTGAATATGGACAATCTGAGTATGTTGTGACGGAATGCTATCATAATGTGGAGGAAAAGTCATTTTAGTTTCTTTCAATAAACTATCTAGAAGCTCATTTTAATGTTTGAGTGTCTGCTTTTTTGTTGCTATGGGAATCACGAAGAGACTTTGCTCGAAGCTTCTCGTGTTTCTTCTTGTACAAATATAAGCTGCGAATATCTTGCAAAAAATACTCAATGTGATCAATTCGATTTCCTCACGCTTACTCCAAAACTTATTTTCTTTCCTAAATTTTCTTCGCACGCTGGTTATACAATGTGCGTCGAATATATTGCACACTTTTCGTTCGAATGCTAATTTGCCCGTGCATGGGACAATATTAGTGAGCTTAACGGATCGCGACGTTTTTGTCAATACAAACGTCAGTTCATCGAGGGGGCTGGATTAAAAACTGTGTGTTTGTCAGTTTGTGGTAATCTTCAACACATAGGACAAAACCTAAGCTTTTTAAAGTTTTTTGCTTCCTTAGTAGACGAGCGTTATGATGCTGGAAAATGCAGCCAAAATTAGTCCTACCAATAAGCTCACGAATGTCGCTCTGATAAAAGGACGAACGAAACAGGCGGCAAAAGTTCTATCTTGAAACTTAATTTAAGCGATATTTCGAATTTATATAAAAAGTAATTTATTAAGCGATATTTAGAATTTATATAAATGACACTCGACACGGTTTTTTTCTCTTTTTTCCGACTCAAATCTCGAGCTTGGAACTTTCCGTTCTTTATTTCATGAACTAGTTCTCGTTTGGCTAACGATTTTGGCAAAATCTCTCCACTAAACCTCTTGACCAAACCCATTTGCTTTGTAATACATGTTTAGTTCAATATCCGTGACGTTTTTTACGGGATCAATATTTACAGGATGATGTGTATACCATTACGATACAAAATTTGACAATTTTTGTCTGAAATGACAAGTGAATCCGTTTGCTTTTGTGAAATGGAACTGCATGCTTGTGTGCAGGGTTTGTTAAAATGAAAAGCGCTCGTATAATAAGTTTATCCAAGTACATTTTGTATAGAAAATACGATTTTTTGTCTTCGTGCAATTCGTTCTAACCGACGTACTCAAAATTCAAAAGCATCTTGAAATTTAATGAAGTTTTAAGTAGAAAATTGATCTGTTTTAGCTTCGAAATAAATATTGGCGTCTCCTATTAGCAAGTAATTTGAAGCGTATGTCTTAATAAGTGGCGTGGGCTGCAATTGCTCATATTTTGTCTGCAATAAAATTTTAATGAGATCGAATTGTATGCAAATATAAAATGTCTTTTTACTGCGCACGAATTATCATTAACAAGTTTAAAAAAATACTTCACAATAACTACACAATATACTGCCTGTAATTTAAACTTTTTCTTATTTCGTATTCGAATTTCTCCTTTATTGAGTAAGAGATTTAGTTTGCCAAAATGAAAAACGTGCGCAAGGCGTACCTGTTTTTCTTCTGAGCTTGTTTTCATTATATTTGATGCAACACGACGTACTGGGATTGCACGAGTGTTTTGTTTGGTGAAATCACATGAAATTGTCGTATTTTCTGTCTAAAAACCTGTCAAATGTGGCGATGAAGAACTAGATTTCAAATTTCAAGAGTGGAAACCGTAAGTACTGAAAATGTTTTATTATATTTAGTAAAAAAAACCAGCGAGATCTCATAAAAATTGCATTGATTGTCATTGGGTAACTATTGACAACCGATAGTCAATAGTTTGGTTTGTTTGCATTTTTGCATAAGCAAAATTATGTTATTTTATCACTTCGAAAACATCAGGTGTATTTATATGCCAACGTTTTCGATCCGTGACCCAGATCTTTGCTGAGTACAAATAATATGAACATCTGGGCTTATGGAATCATCTAAAACTTTACCTAATTATAAACACATGGAGTTTTTTCAAAAAAACAAAACTATTAATTTATGGCAATGCAAATGGCTACAGAGAAAAATGTAATACTAAAACTAGAAAGCGTTTATTACATTTTTTCACCCACAGACTGACAGACACACTCCAGCCTAGAAAGTTCACAACACGCAGCCAAGATCTCGGGTGCACAGTTTTGATGTTAATCTCGGACGCTCAATTTCCAAGCTTTCCAGTCTGGGACACTTAGCGAAAATGGACCTCATTCTAATTTTATCTAAATTTTCCGATTAGATAGGTCCAAAGCCCAAATGTTTTGTGTGCCATTCAACAATCTGGCCGTGTTAATGGAAAGGACCCCTTTGTGCAGAAAATTTGGTTTTAATACTATTTATAATAACATAAAATTATTAAGTTAAATTTTGCCCCCTGCTGTCCCCACTCCCCTGCGTTGCATACAGCCCACCTTAGAGGTGTTTTATACAAGCATGGAATGAAGGTGATTTGCACAGCATATGTGCATAATAATGTAAAACTATAAACTATGGTATGGAATGGTAGACTATAAACTACCGAAATTAATTTATTTTAAAACATATCTACAGCAATTCCAGACCTGGCTTTTACTCAATCACATAGCTATTTGATCTGTACAGTTGAATATATTCAAACTGGTCAACATTAATACTTGAATAAAATCTTGGGGTAGATGTTTCACCGAGTGAACACGTTGGCATGGATGTGAGTTAAGGTTTGTGAGAAGGCCAGGGGGGCGGTTGTACGAAGGCCGGATAGCGCTATCCACTGGATAGTGATTTTTCAAGCTTTGTTAAATCAGTCGTTGATTGGTATAAGTCGTATTAAAGTTTTGTATTTATAAGTTAAATGTTTTTTTATACTTCTTGTGTCGTCTACATCCGTAGTTTCACAGTTTTTCAAGCATTTTACATAGCGCTATCCGACCTTCGTACAACCCGCCCCAGGTGTGTAAATGTTCGTTTAAGGACATTAATAAGAGGGAGGAATAGGAAGAGTATAATGAGGAAAGCAAGGATGAGATGGTATGGACAGATGATAAGATGAGATTTCAGAGAGCCGGTCAAAAATAGTATGGAATGAAGGGATAAAATATGTGGAGTGGTTGTCATTGCAGAGAATGCGAAGGTGGTATGGACCCATAATACGAGATGCAGAAGAGCCGGTCGAAGATACAGTATTATGGAATGAAGAGATCAGAAGATGTGGAGTGGTATAGACATTGCAGAAAATATGAGGGAAGCAAGGATGAGGTGATAAGACACACGATAAGAGGAAATGCAGGAGAAACGATCGAAGATGTAGAATGAAGAGATCAGAAGAGGTGGGGTGGTAGACATTCCAGAGAAGACGAGGGAAGCAAGGGGAAGGTGGTATGGACCCATGATAGGACGAGATGCGGAAGAGCTGGTCGAAGATATCATGGAATGAAGAGATCAGAAGATGTGTGGTGGTAGACATTGCAGAGAAGGCGAGGGAAGCAAGGGTAAGGTTGTATGGACACATAATAAGAAGGAATGAAGGAGATCTAGTTAGAAATACTATGGAATGAAGAGATCAGCAGATGCGGAGTGGTAGACATTGAAGGGAAGGCGAGAGAGGCACGGATGAGGTGGTATGGACACATAGTAAGACGAGATGCAGGAAAGCCAGTTGAAAGATATTATGGAATGAAGAGATCAGAAGAAGTGGGATGGTAGGAGAGAAGGTGAGGGAAGCAAGGCAGAGATGGTATATCCACGTCGAAAAGAAGTGATGAACGAGAACCTGTCAGAAAATATGGAACTGACGAATTGATAGGTGGCTGTGTAAAAAATGATGATGTGGGCTGATGTAACAATGATATACATGAGAAGGAAGAAAAACAATGGAGGTTAAGAGCCCAAGCAGCCGACCCGCGGCCGGATCAGTCTTGGACTCTTGCTTCGTAAAAGAAGAGCAAGGATTAACATCGGTTGCTATACTTACTGTATATTGATATCAGCATTCGCACTGCCTTGTAGTTCACTGATTATAAGCTCAGAAATACGAGTGTTTTTTTAAAAATTCTTTACAACAAATGGCGAAAATATCTTGGTGAAATTGTCGTATTTTCTGTCTAAAAACCTGGAAAATGTGGCGATGAACAGTGCTGTAAGTAACTTCGTTAAAAGTAACTAGTTACAAGTAATCGTTACATTTTTCAGTAACGGTAACGGTAACTTGTTACATTTTGAGACGGCATGTAACTGTAACGGTAACTATAGTTACAAAAAATGCCATAAAATTGAAACGATTACAAGTTATTTTGCCAAAGTTACAAGTTACATTTTGTTCGTTGCTATTTGTGTACGTTTTTAAAATGAAATTAATCAATACACAGTGAGGCAAGCTCTTAATCATCTGCACAGGAATAATTTAATCTGACACAACAGAATCCGTTCAAGACACAAATTTAAGTCAAGGATTGACGTCAAATTTACGTACAGTTGGAACTGATCGGAAGGCCGTCGCTCGCCTTCACTTGGGCCTTGGCCTCGTCATAATTGGTCTTTGGCCTCATTTCACTTGGCCTTGGCCCAGTCATGATCACGTATTCACGTTTCTGCTTTTTCATTGCGAAGTCAGAAGCCACTAGCCAGTGAGGGATATTATTTTTCAAAATCTATTCGTTCAGATTGTATAATAGAATTTTTCTAATTGACAATACTATTAAAAAATCGATTTGGTAGAATTTTACAGATGCATGCAGATACATCTAGTAAATAGTTATTAATTTTGCCAATAATTTTGCCGCAAGTTTCATTACCATTCGGCCCATTCGAATTGTATGAAATCTTAATTGCAATCAATAAATGTAACTTGTAACTTTGTAACTAAGTTACAAAAAATATATTGTAACTTTGGCGTCTGTAACTTGTATCGGTAACTAGTTATGACTTATGTTTTTGGTAATGTAACTATAACTGTAACTAGTTACAAATAAACTGTAACTGTTACAACACTGGCGATGAAGAACTAGATTTCAAATTTCAAGAGTTGAAATCGTAAGCACTGAAAATGTTTTATTATATTTACTAAAAAAGCAGCGAGATCTCATAAAAACATATTAGGCAGCCCACTAAACGACTGAATTTAAATTAAAACGGCGGTGAAATTATAAATTAAATTAACTAAAATAATCACAAATTAGCGAAATATATTGCTTAGTATAGCTTATATTAAATCGCCACCCGATTGCACTATCGGCCAACTGACGTATAGTTATGTGAAGTACTAAACGACTGAATTTAAAATTTAAAATTAAAACTGCGGTGAAATTATAAAATTAACGAAAATAATCACAAATTAGCGAAATATATTGCTTAGTATATAGCTTATATTAAATCGCCACCCGATTGCACTATCGGCCAACTGACGTACTGTATAGTTATATAAAGTATACCTTAACTGACGTATAGTTATATAAGGCATACTTTACATAACTATACGTCAGTTGGCCGATAGTGCAATCGGGTGGCGATTTAATATAAGCCATACCCTGGCTATCCTAAGCAATATATTTCGCTAATTTGTGACTATTCAAATATTTCGCTAATTTGTGACTAATCGTTTAGTGGGCTGCCTATGATAAAAATTGCATTGATTGTCATTGGGGTTTGTTTGCATTTTTGCATGAGTAAAATTAATAGTTATTTTATCATTTCGAAAACGTCAGGTGTATTTATGTGCCAACGTTTTCGATCCGTGACCCAGACCTTTCCTGAGCACAAATAATATGAACATCTGGGCTTATGGAATCATCTAAAACTTCACCTAATTATAAACACATGGAGTTTTTTCAACAAAACAAAACTATTTATTTATGGCAATGGCTACAGTGAAAAATGTAATACCAAAACTAGAAAGCGTTTATTACATTTTTTCACTGACAGACATACTCCAGCCTGAAAAGTTTGCAACTCTCGGGTGCGCAGATTTGATGTTCCCAATGTATTTACTATTAAATTTTCGTAATCTCGGACGCTCAATTTCCAAACTTTCCAGTCTGGGACAATTAAAGGCAGGGCGCTGTTTGCAGGATTTTCTCCACCTGGGGTAGTAATACCTAGGGCGCTTTCCATTTAATGGCCTGTCCGGTCAGACCTGAATTTTTGTCTCTGTATCAATGGAAAGATCTGGTCTATGTTTTTCAAATATCTAGCGAAAATGGACCTCATTCTAATTTTATCTAAATTTTCCAGTCAGATAGGTCCGAAGCCCAGACGTTTTGTGTGCCATTCAACAATTTGACCGGTCTGTCCGTGTTAATGGAAAGTGTCACTGTTAGCCGGGCCTATATATATATGCTGAAATAAATACCCAAATGTCAATGCATTGAAAGTCATATCAGTTAGATGCATGCTTATGGCCGCCCAAAACAGAATCCTACGTTCTACTTTATAAGTGCCATTTGGTTTTAATAAATACTAGATAAAACATTCGCATCCGATCTGTATCTGAAATGACCCATCTTACGAGTTCATTGGCGTAATTTTAAATTAAAAATAAACGTTGTCTAACCCGAGAAAATCAAAGCTGAAGTTTATGTAAATCAGGACAAATCTTTATCCGATTTACAAACATTGATTAAACATTCATTTCTTTTGTATTTTCCTCGCGAATTATTAATGAGTTTTTTTAATTTAGAATAACATTATAAAATTAGTAAGTTAAATTTTGCCCACCTTAGAGGTGTTTTATACCAGCATGGAATGAAGGTGATTTGCACAGCATATGTGCATAATAATGTAGAACTATAAACTATGGTATAGAATGGTAGACTATAAACTACCGAAATTTATTTAAAACATATCTACAGCAATTCCAGACCTGGCTTTTACTCAATCGCATACTTAGCTATTCGATCTGTACAGTTGAATATATGGAACTAGACTTATTTTCACACCTCGGTACAATCAAACTGGTCAACATTAATACTTGAATAAAATACTCTTGGTAAGCAACTGTTTATGATCTTAAGCTTGACATGTGCCGCATTTGTTCTTGCAGTATTGTTCAAAGAAAGAACATTCGTCTTGCAAAATGTCTTCACACCAAAATTCATCAACACATCCTCCTAAAAATGGCAAAATTTAAAATAAATAAATGCACATCTTGTTGTAAGTTGTTGTTGCTGTTTGTTGTTGTTGTTGTTGTTGTTGTTGTTGTTGTTGCTGCTGTTGCTGTTGTCATTATAATATAAAATTATTCATTTAACTGAAGATAGCTGATTTGCATTTCATATTATAGAGTGATGTATTATCTATTTGTAACTTACCTGCGGTGTTTGAAGCTGTAAAGAAGAAAAGAATGATCAATTAATTAATCTGAAACTATTCTGACAATTTATTTATTCTAAAGACTAATGTGCCACAAAATCCATTAATTTCATCTCCACTATGATCATCACCATCATCATCATTACTGTCACCATCATCACCATCATCATCACCACCATCATAATCAGTGATGATGCTGACAGTGATAATGATGGCAATGGTGGAGATGAAATTCATTGCCATTATCATCATTCGTCATGAACAATCATCACCATCATAATTAATCACCATCATCTTCATTAATCACCATCATCATCATTCAACACCATCATCATCATTCATCATCAACAACAATCATCACTATCATCATCATTATCATCACTAATCATCATCATCCGTCATCTGATCATCACCATCAACAACAATCATCACCATCAACAATCATCACCATCATCATGATCAACAATCATTTACCATCATCGTCAATCACCATCATCATCAACAATCATCACCATCATTAATCATCACCATTACCATCATCATCAGTAAGCATCATCATCACCTTCATCAATCACCATCATCATCATCACCTCCACCGTTATCATATCACTATAATCATACCCAATCATAAAACGTAATAGATCTCTTCACTTACGATAAAGATATTTGATGCCGTTAATATCATCTTGAGTCAGAGCGAAATCGGGACTGTAAGGTTGATACTGAGCATACATAACGGCATCAGAATGCGTAGAGTGTCCCAAGCCAAGGGCATGGCCTATCTCATGTGCAGCAATAGACAACAGATTCTTTTTATTTGCTTCATCACCAGTAGTATACTGTTCAGCAGAGTCAAAGTGAATACGGCCGTCTTCAGGGTAGAATGCGTGTGCGACTACCAAACCTGGGCCGTCAAATGGCATCGAGTCTGAGTGCTCACCAGCAACAAATCTAAATTATTTTATTCATAGCATTATACGCCTTCCTTGTATTGAATCTCTTATAGTATTGGAATTAGAGAAGGGACCTACCGATATATATGCACAGAATTGGTTTCTTATGGGGTAACTGTTTCACTGAGTGAATATTTGTTGGCACGGATGTGAGTTAAGGTTTGTGAGAAGGACAGGTGTGTAAATGTTCGTTTAAGGACAAGAGGGAGGAATCGGAAGAGTAGTGAAGGAACTGGAAGCAAGGATGAGGTATGGACAGATAATAGGACGAGATTCCAGAGAGCCGGTCGAAAATATTATGAATGAAGGGAGTGTGGAGTGGTTGCCATTGCAGAGAATGCGAAGGAAGAAAGGTGAAGGTGGTATGGACCCATAAGACGAGATGCAGAAGAGCCGGTCGAAGATATCATGGAATGAAGAGATCAGAAGATGTGGGGTGGTATAGACATTGCAGAAAATATGAGGGAAGCAAGGATGAGGTGGTAAGACACATGATAAGAGGAAATGCATGGGAGCCGATCCAAAATTTGGAATGAAGAGATCAAAAGAGGTGGGGTGGTAGACATTGCAGAGAAGACGAGGGAAGCAAGGATGAGGTGGTATGGACACATAATAAGAAGAGATGCAGGAATGTTGGTCAAGAGACATTATGGAATGAGGAGATCAGAAGATGTGTAGTGGTGGACATTACAAGGAAGGCGAGGGAAGCAAGGGGAAGGTGGCATAGATCCATAATGAGACGAGATGCAGAAGAGCTGGTTGAAGATATCATGGTATGAAGAGATCAGAAGATGAGTGGTGGTAGACATTACAGAGAATGCGAAGGAAGCTGAAGGTGGTATGGATCCATAACACGAGATGCAGAAGAGCCGGTCGAAGATATGGAATGAAGAGATCAGCAGATGCGGAGTGGTAGACATTGAAGGGAAGGCGAGAGAAGCAAGGATGAGGTGGTATGGACACATAATAAGACGAGATGCAGGAACGCCAGTTGAAAGATATTATGGAATGAAGAGATCAGAAGAAGTGGGGTAGGAGAGAAGTTTAGGGAAGCAAGGCAAAGATGGTATGCTCACGTCAAAAGAAGTGATGAAGGAAACATGTCAGAAATTATGGAACTGACGAAAGGATAGGTGGCTGTGTAAAAAAAGATGTAACATGATGTACATGACAAGGGACAAAAACAATGGAGGTTAAGAGCCCAAGCAGCCGACCCCGGGTCACTTGCTTGGTAGAAAGAAGAACAAGGATTAACATTGGTTGCTATACTTACTGTATGTTAATATCAGCATTCGCACTGCCTTGCACTTCACTGATTGTAAGCTCAGACACATCAGACCATAGTTTAAACGCCTTCGCAATCTCTTGTCGTTGAACTTCTACGGGCAGGTCACTGTCAAAACTTTCAATTTTATATGTCAGAGTATTCTTCCCCCACGGCGTCTTAGTAAGGTATCTTTTAGCCAGTTTATATTTCTTTCCTTTCTTGGCCTGTAATGTACCTTTACCAATGTCGGGATCACCGCATCGAGACTGTTTTGAAATTCTCGCCAAATGACGTAGAAAGATCCACGAGGCCTTGCTCATAAAGAATTTTTTCCCAATCTTTGCTCCGTTCCAAATTGCGAACTTCCACATACCCATTTTCATTTTTTTATGAGACTTTTGTTTTCCTTTAGGCATGTAGCCGTAGGAATTTAGGAAATTCTATAGGGTATAGGAAAATATTAGTTACTATCCATTAATTACTTTAAAATATTAAAGTATTTAGCTCGTTTTGGTCTCGCGACGTTATGAAGCAGTGGCCTACAAAAATGTTATATAGCACGCCCGTAGCCCGCCTACGCCCGCATCTTGCATTAAAACGACGATTCCTGACAAGTAAAGCCTATATGTGCTGTGCTATTCAGGGGCTTGAAAAAATATTTTAATACGTGGTTCTACATGAAAGATGCCGTTACATTTGAACTAAACTTGCTAAAATCCTGGACCTGAATTTAGCATTTATTTATCAATCTTATACAACTCGCGACTTTAATTTTCTTACCCAGATTCGATCTAAAACTTCATTCGTCCACTGTGCCCGTCTTGGGCCGTTCTCAATTTCACCAATGATGATATTATCTTCACTGAGCACATCATTGCTTAATTCGACTTTCGTTTGGTCCATCACTGGAATTGCCAGCGAACTGCTCAACAGAGCTAGAACGCCGAAAATCACAACAGCTTCCATGTCGTAACCTTGTATGCTTTAGTTAGTTTGCCTTCTGGCTCTTCCCATTATATGCGCAAGATTTTATATTCTTGAGAAGACAAAGAATTCCTTGTTTTCTTTCAAACTATTTACAGATCGGTTTCAAAAGCTTTTCAAATAAACCTACGTGTTACATGTGTGCTTAATAAGCGTGCCGCTGAAGTACCGTTGTACAAAAGCATTGTTTTTATCGGCTAATCATGTCTTTGTATTTCACGACACGAATTTCTGTGTGTGAATTGTCTGTATCGAGAAGGATTTTATGCCCTTTCACGGTGTATAATATTGAGCCTGAAATGTTTCTGTTTTTAAAGCATGTACTTAACATATACATAATATAATCTCGAATGGTCTGTTCCAGACTGTGACAGCGTATATAGGTAGTAATGTCTATAATGAGAACAATTTAAAGAATAGAATAGAATAGAAATTTTAATCAACTCTCAACAAAAATGGCTTTTCAGAGCTAATTTACAATGTTAGATATAGAATAGAAAAAATAATAAATTAACTATTTACAATCTTTGAATGTTCCAACAATGTTTATAGGAAATACAACTGTTCTGCTTATATTTTTCAGGTGCAGTTGTATTTCCTATAAAGATTGCTATATATAATTAGTATTGCAGTTTTTGATATATCTTAACTCACTTCATTCAGTACAGTAAATATTATAGTGTTGCATTTTTTTGTGGATTTAGAACCACCAGCCTGAAATTTAGGCAATTACTAGTATAAGCAGCCAAAAATGCAAGAAGCACTTCAGAGTGACAAATGTAACAAATGACAAATAGTGGAATGGTTCCTAAGAATCTTAACTCAGTTTGTGCTCACAGGAATAATATGTTGTTTATTACTGAACAAGGATATGTTTTATCACATTTGGAGGCAATTAAGTACCAATTTAAAACACGCGTAGGAGTGTTTTATCATGCATGCATGTTTAAAATGCGCAGCACGAGTATTTTAGATATGATAAAACCGACTATACAATTGTTTTGAATAGCTTCAAACACGACTAAAATAGATGCCGTCGTGTTAGTATTCTTTATGTAAAGAATATACTAATTAGGATGGACTTTTATATAAAGAATACCAATGAAGATGAGTTTTATCAAGTATAAAGCCTCTTCACGTGATATATTATGGTTGACATGATTTGCCAATAAGCTTATCATGACTTAATAATGAGTGCATGTTTGAAGTACTGTTTAATACTGTCAACAGGTCACTAATTAAGAAACAAGTCTTTAATACACTAGTTAAGAACCAACTTGGTCTGACTTCTCACTAAATACCCATTACATATAATTGCTGTGCTGAGTGGTTATATTACTACCTGAAATAAACAAGCAGAAACTCGACGTTTCGAGCGAAGGCCCTTCGTCAAGAGTTTTACCATTATATATAAACATATTACCACTTCAGTCTGACATGCTGCAAAAAACTCCCTGAGCATTTTCTGTCAAAAACTCGAAAATGCTCAGCATTGGCTATAGGGCCTCATTTTCGTGATTGCATGAGATGTTGGATTTAAAGTCCTTTATCTCATTACAGATGGACACATTTACAGTTATATCAGTGAATAGAAAATTAAGACCTGTTTATAATTTTGTAATCAGTAACAAAATAAAGGACTCTTTTAAAAGCCAATGTCTCAAACATGATCACAGAAATGTTATAGGCTACTTTCCAGAAGGGTGTATTAAGTAAATGTATATACTCATAGATCAAGTTTTGAGTCATGAATATACCAGGGTTTTTTTACAGTGTGGTTCTCTTAATTTACATATATACACGAGTATGCAATAGGTATTGTCTTTTACTTTGTGTATGAAGATTGGTGATGTTTATGAGGCTAAGAAAGTTCTGGAGTGAGTTCCTCCCACCACATTAACATGGTGTGCCGATCACAGCGGGATGGTCTAAAATAAACCAATTTTAATGTTCGAACTGCGACTTATATGGTTAGCCATTATGTGGGTCTGTGTAAACATGTATATAGAAACCTCTTGAAGAGCCCACATATAGTAACATAACATAACAGTGTTGCCCTGTTTAGTTTAAGTGGATCAATTTGTCAAATTGTGCAATTGAGATTCTCTTTCAATTGGTTAACTTGTTTTACAGTGCATCATCAAAAGTTCTTTGAACAAAGTACAGTCTGAGTGTGTGAAGTGTGATCCTATATATTTTCTATATATATAGTTATCTCAGTACTTTGTATAAGGCTAATTATACACGGGACTTTGATACTGTAAACCATGCATGCAGTGGCATCAGGATAAACTATCGCTAGACATCAAGTGTTATACGCTTAATTCCTAATTACGTACTTAGCCTAGACTATTTTATCTTTACAACAATTGATCATGTGATATTATTTTTTTTAATAACAACGTTTATCCTAACCCGCCCTTTCAACTTTTCCTGTGGGAGGAAATTACCAAAGCACCCGGAGAAAATCCACGACTTTCGGCAGCGCGTTGACTGACTCTTTTCACATGCACGACTCTGACGATTCTATCACTCTATTTTAAGGCTGCTTTATATACCGCTTTATATTATCACACATGCATGCATGCAGATTGACCACTGACACCACTGTCAACACACAAATTTTGATCAGTATAGTGTAAACCGCGGGTTCAGCTCACTTTGGGCAAGACAATGTAAATATAATGTTTTGAGTCCAATTATGGATGACGCCATACTTGGACATTATTTTGCAACTTTTGCTATATTTACCAGTATAAGTGGGGTAATTCTATATATAAATATGCTAAATTCTTAAGTTTAGGCTATAGTTTGCGGTTATATACACGAGAGACCTTAATTGTGCGTCTTAATTCTCTCTGTCACTCCGAAGCAATTGCTCATTCATATCATATATATCCCCTTGGTCTTGTTGATGTTAATCTATTTAAATAAAATCAATTGTTTCATAAACAAAGCTCGGGATTGGACATATAGTTTCACACACCTACTGTCTGCGTGTTGAATGGAGCCTCCCACATGAAAAAATGAATCGTCATCTGTTCCGGAGTTTTCAGCAATTGCTTATGGCACGAACACGGCAACTTGTTTTTCTTACTAATTTTGACATGCTTCATTGGGATCGATGGGATGTTCTGTACATAAGTTAAGGAATTTGAACAATCATGAGGCAGAAATTGGGAATTTTAAAAGTTCCATTAGACCGCCTTATCGATGAGATTCTTTTAAACCATTTGACAGCTATATAGGCTTATACCCACGCGCAATTCTCTGTTGTGTACATCTATACTAACTGGAACCCGCTATATATAAACCGTTTTTAATATTATCATACATATAAAAGCATTGAATTTTTCATAAAGCACGTAGGATGGATATTTGTTTTGTAAATAACATGGGTGTATGTGCTTTCGGTAGTCACAATTCCGCATTCAGTTCTACTGAACCGTCTGTCATGCAGAAACATGTACACTTGTACAAAACTTGAAAGTCCTTGAAGTCCTTGAAAGTCCTTGAATTTGAGAACAAAAGTTCAAGACCTTGTATGTCCTTGTACGATATTACAATGCATTCTAAACTCCCAGAGCTGGTATAACGAAGTTTGGGTGTTTTCTATATATATATATATATATATATATATATATATATATATATATATATATATATATATATATATATATATATATATATATATATATATATATATATATATATATATGCTAT